TACACAGGACTAATCACGATTTTGCAAAAGACCCAAGACTCCAAGAGATACTACATGTACATGATACATGGAGCTATGTAAGCAGGGACTTACTACCTAGTTGATCACCCCAGTTTCAAACTCCGATCGACATTGAAGATATGTCACGATCTCGGGAGATACCCTCATCTCCTTACCGAATCCGGGGCTCAATTCGTACCCGAAAGTACCGGTACAAACCTTATCTGGATGTCTGTCAGCTCAATAACGATCCGAAGAGCGCGGAGAAACCCCATTCTGGTATTTTTTGACCGGAATACATATCATAGATGGTAGACCTTGTCTTTGTAAGACAAAGGTCACGTTCTCCTATACCCCGAGTATGTGCAAAAGTACCGTGATTGTATTGAAGTTCACGGCTCCAAACCTCATGTATTCTTATCATATAGTTTCATCAGAGCTAGACTTAGACGTGCCCGTCTAGGGACTTGGCTGTGCATCTAGTCCGTCTCCAGTGATTTGTCGCGTACGTGCATTTACATGAGATTAGATGTATCGCATATGATTGGATCTGCATATCTGCACGAATTATCATTGGCGTTAATCGGCATGGGGTGACAGATGGACTGACATGGTGAACCTTTTGATATCATGATAGACAATAAGTTACATGGCTCTAGCATAGGGAATACGAAGTGTTTGCCTTCCACTACTGCTGCCACTATCAATTTAAGCACAAATGTCCAATACTCTTAATAGGCATAGTATGAATTTCTTGACATTCTCAATACGGGGTATTTAGTATGGACCCGAGTGTCCACATCCGACCTACTCGATATATCAACTAGCCTTGAGGCCCTTTCAATGCCCAGTATTGTACTAGAGATGATGATTTGGGGCACTGAGGACGCCTCCTGGTATTACCCGATAGAGAGATAGAGTTATAGTATAATCTTGTTTAGTGTCAGTTTGTGCGATGCCAAATAATATATCTTCATTTTTTCTCATTCGGGATCCACGGCTGATAAATCATCTCTTCTCTCTTTATAATGAGAGTGGGGGTAGAAGCTAACAGCATTTACTTCACAACTTGCTACTGCGAGTAGCTCACACCTGGACAATAGAATGTTCACATATAACAATCTGGGGAAATGATATCTCCCCCAATCATCATCTTGCTCGCCCTGAGTAATTGAGTAATCTTCCTTTCCATTTGTTCTCCCAACACTCACCCCCAAACTCACCAACATTCGAGAAGGAGGAATTGATTTTGTGATCACGTCTACTGTACTGCGTAAAGTCTTTTTGATAGAGAAAACCTGTACAACACGTGCAACCACATTTTTGACCCTTCACCCAGGCTTAAATCTTCCGAATTTATGCTGTCCTCTTTAACATCCTCAACGTTCGATTTAATGTGTTCCCCCACCCCCTTCAATCCCACTCATTCTTTCAATCCTGCACACAAACCTCAAAACGGAAGGTTAAACGCTCCAGATGTAGTGAAACATTCTTATCGCCGTCAACATATCCAAACAACGGAGTGGAAAATGCAGGATACAGATACCAGTGTCCTTAATGTTTACGCGGTGCACATAAGCTCAACCTTGAAATTGCATGATTGATTATCCTGTATTACGACTTATACATGATAGCTGCAGGATTTGGAGTAAGATATAAATATAAGTCACACAACTTCGCTGTCATGAAATGTTGTGCGATGGATCTTCGATGCTTTGAAGTTATTTGAGTATGTTAATCAATATTGTGAAACATTTCTTATCTTCATCGTAAATTGAAAACGTTAACCACCGATCTTCGGCGCCAGAGATGTTTTTAGTATGACATTGTCTGATATCTGGGATACTTTTGATGAGAAATGTATGGATAGTACGGGTTTGGTGAGGTGAGGTTGACGATCTCGGGAGCTCTGAGATAAGCACTTTCACTAAGGTAGTGATCATTGCCTTACTAAGAGTACAGGGAAGTTAAGAGGGAGGTTAACTTCCTACCCACAATTGTGTGTTGATCAGAGCGTCTATCGCTGGAATACCTCCTATTATTCTTTTCGGCCACATCGAGACCAGAGATTGTGGCTTGTGGCTTGACCTCTAGTGAGGGACAGTGAGTTCAGTCCAGATCCACAAAGGATTCGGCCAGTTGTTATTGCTCTAATTTTGAGTATGCTGAGTCAAAATACCGACATTAACTGCAAGCCCGCCCTACGTGATGGGTCTCCTTACTATGGAAACTATGGACTAAGGGATGGCCCTTTCACTGAAACAAGTCTATTCCATGTGTATTGAAAGTGTTTGCTTTGTTTGCTCAGCTGTGTCGATGTGGACTACATCTTTAACTAGGTAATCGTTGCAAACCAATCCTCGACATCAAAGAAACAATCGAGGCTTGTGGCTCCACGAAGATATCAGCCCAGACAACTGTTAGAGAGAAATCAGACCACCAATGGAACATGGACGCTGATCGATCGAAGCAAAACAGCGGTCGAGACTGAAGTTCTGTACAGTGCACATGGTAAGCCCGAAAGCACCAAAAGATTACAGACTACGTGCGTGCAGAAACTCTACTCAAACTTGCCAATGAACTTTCATTCGACAACCTAGTAACGACACTAAGATTCGGAATATTCTCAACAAACTTGCTTTTTGATGTCTGTGTGATATTATCTTATGATATGAAAGTTCTAGCAGCAAACTATTGTTTAAAATAAAGTTCGCGAGCTGAGATCGACGGCGCGAACACTAGCGCACTGTTCAATTAGCTTGGAATATTTTCCGCTCGGACATCAAACTACTAACTACTGTCTTATCGCATTCAGTAACCAGTACATTTACTAGAATTCGAGATGTGAGGTTCTGATAGCTATGCAATGCATAGCTAGTATGCATACTAAAACTTGCTTGGCGGAACTCACGTAATATGAGGCGCTCAAAATTGTGCATTCTAGTTTTCAGGCCTCAAAAGTGGGATATCATAACTTTATAGCGTGGAAATATTTGCGAGACCAAAACAAATTTTCAAGTGAAAACTTTGAAAGGTTGAATCTCGAATGATGGGAGGTCTCAGCTCCTAAAATTAGAAATTTGGAACGATGGAATGAGGTTTGATGGGTAGGTAGCACGTGGGGTGGAAATGAGGAGTGCAGAAGAAGGAGTGCAGAAGAGGATATTGGGGATTGGGGAAAGGACCGATTTCCCACCCGCGATGGCTTGGTATATGCAAGTTTTACGGTTGGAGATAAGACTTGCGTATGTATGACAGAAGCATTGGGGAAAGGACCGACTCGGGTGGGTATGGAGGGGTTCCAACAGTTGGCAGCTAGTGCTTCGCGGAGATTGAGCTGAGGGTATTGGGGAAAGGACCGAATCGACCTTCTTCTTGGGGTAAGTCCGCCGAGCGGATCGGAGTATAGAAGTGGAAAGCGGGAGAAGGGGTGGGTTGGGGAAAGGGCCGATCTGGGTGGATATGGAAAATAGTTTTGACAGTGTGATACAGTGGGAGCGGAGCAAACGGGATGTCGTGGGGTTGGACCCGCGGATTTGTAGGATCACCTAAGCTACTGGAGCTAAAAAGTGCAGAATCTGGAGTAGGTTTAAGGTGGTATCGGGGGGGACCGAATTGTATTATGGACGTTGCTTCAAGGTGGGAGTAGAAATGGATCAAGTGACCAAGAAACTGTTCAGCTTGGACAACTCATATTACTTTGTTGAATGACGACGTAAGGACGAGGATTGTATTGTGAAGAGTTTTCTATCGGATTGAAAAGTTCATAGTTGCCAGTGCGATGTCTAATAACGATTGTCAAAAGGTCACTAGTAAGCTGATGGGATGTATGTGACCTATTGATCATCAGCCGTTTTTTCACTGGCAAGATGGATGACGAATGCGTCGATATCTAGGTGTACGGTATCTTTCTTCAGTCATGTGAAATTCAGCTATATCTGGTATAAAATGAGCCATTGGAGGGAGTGACAAAGAAGAGGAAACAATGATGGTATAGAATGAGTCTTTTGAGGGGTAATGATGCTTTTCCACACAGGAAGTAATGAGTCTCTACAACAATGAACTGACTTCAATACATTTTTTTCGCTTGGAGACTTAAAGAATTATCCTTCATTCACTCAATTTAGCGTGTACTCCATCCATATAATGTCACTCGAAAGCCATTGGCCGCTCGATCCTATCTTCGTCATTATCATCAAGAATAACTTGCAGCGAGTTGTGGGTGAACCGTAGGAGATCTTTGAGCTACTCCATCGGTATTATCTTTGAAATTTAATGAAGTCAGTAGTGGCAACAAATATCCAAGGAAGAAGTCTGCGCTTGATATATTGATCTCAAAGGCATTTTTCAAATAAGCTGTGACTTAGTCAAACACGCCATATAGTAGTGATTGTGGATGTAGAAGTACTACCTACGTGTAGGATATACTGGTATTGAGGATTACCTTTCAAATAATTCAGTGAAGAGAGCAACGAGACAGAAACTCCACTACTCAGTATACTATCTAGTGTATCGTGGAGGTTATGGGAAGCAAGCTCCATTCAGTCTCCCATCTCGTTTCCGTTCATGGCTTTGGTCACAAAAGAATAATCTTTAGAGTTGTTGTCAACCCACGTGGGATACAAACTAGCAACATTCAGGCAAAAAACTCTCTTTCTCAACTATGGTCTTTGGGTGCACATCCTGCAGTTAGGTCAAGTCTACCTACTCAATATATGGTCTATTATCATGTCTTGTGTATTTTACTTCAAATATTTCTCCCAAGATTCAAATTAATTGTGCTATGATAGTCAACTTCGACAAACATGATAAGACAATAGCTGCAAACCAAACTTTCGGTTTAAAGCAATCAATCGGAAACTCAAAGTTCCTTCATGGGGAATTGACTGCCAAAGAAAATCTTACAGTTAACATAATCTAAGCTCTTCCTCCACCCGTCACCACTCCATTCTTTCTATACTTTGCACTTCTTCCAAGTTCCACAGATCCATCACCTCAACTTAATGTCTTTCCAACCTTACACTGTCCCTCCTCTCAGTCCCATTTTCCACCACAATTTTTTCATCAATATCCTTCGGTACAACACCACCCAATGTATTCCCACTAACATGATCATCCGGCATGAAAGGCATATCCATATCGAATATATTATTTATAGCCGTGTATTGATGATATCCCAGTCTAGCCAGCGGAGCTGCTTTTAGGACATCGAAGAGCTGCTTAATTATCAGCTCAGGTTCTGGAAGTGAAATACAGATGGAAATTGATCAGAAATACACTTACTCCATTAGGAGTTATGTATTCCCCTCTAACATGAATCCCCACGACCCTTCCGATAACAATATCACTATGCCCGACCAGCGAATCACCGGCGATTCGAAGAATCGAGTGGAATTTACACTCAAATTGGACGGGGGACTCGGCTACTCTGGGGGGTTTCACCACTTTACTGGCGACTTTTGTTACTTTTGCGAACGAGAATTCGTCGTCCCATGATTCGAGGGCGGTGGCGTTGACGTTTTCGCGGAGGTCATAGCTGGGGTTTGTTAGATGTGTGGAGATGAAATGTGTGAGTGGAGGGAGATTTAAGAAAATTAAAGAAGGGAAGGGGGGTATACGTAGCCATGTTCCAAACAAATTCCCCAGTATCTTTGACATTGTTGACAGAATCTTTACTTTGACGTTTGTAGACGGATTGATGACCTATGAACATGATGGTTGGGGGATCGAAGGATACATTGTTGAATTGGGAATATGGGGCGAGGTTATCTTGGCCGGACTTGGAGGTTGTAGAGATCTAGATAGGACGGGTTAGATACCGGGTGAACAGGAGGAAGAGAATGAGAGGTGTAAAATGAGGGGAAATGAGAGAAGGGTCGTGGAGAGGGTGATGGAAGGTGGGAAAGAATTTGTTTCTGAATGAGAGCAGACTTGAAAATGAAAGAAAATTGGTCTCTATTTACCCAGCCGATGGGTCGCGGAATGACGAAAGATTTGAATGGATCATGAGGAAGTCCGGAACTTTCTCCTTTGGGAGGTTGGTAGAAGATATCTGGGCGGGGCATTTTGCGTAAGGGATGTTCTCGAGGCAAGATATTAAGTGCTTTATAGATTTATCCAATAGCTGCAAGACGATATGATATGTAAATCGATGATGCTGGAAGAACACTTGTGCGAGGACACCCTCGGGTCTTTATACCCAATATCCTCTCTCCCATCTCATCCTGATCAATCCAACCATCTCGCCAACCCTTCCGAGAATTCAATCCGTCCGTATCCTTTTTGTTCTCACTGCCGACGTTCAATAATCACTTTGTGATTACATCTCTCATCAATCCTAGGACATAACTCGAAGTGCATGATACCCTCTCATAAATGCCGAGTATATATGATTCTCCTCAGGTGCAGAAATTCTATGTATTGCCATTGCTATCCCTCGTGTATCACAAGTAAGTAATCATTCGAGGTGTGATTGAGTAGGGTAATTTTCCCCATAGCCGAGGGTGCATCCGAGGCTGGTGAGTGATTGAAGGGGAATAGTAATCATAGTTTGTGCAACATTGCAGTGTTACAAAAATTGAACCCAAAAATTGAAGTATTTCTTACTATATCAACCTTAGAGTTGGACAACTTTTTAGTCACTCGGCCTTGCTGCTGTTGCTAACTTTGATTCCTAGATAAGGTAAGTCAATTTCAATTTCAGACAACAATTCATTTGCCTTCATTCATTAACCCGGACGATACAACTTGTCCAGAATCTTTCTCCCAGTTTCCCTCGAATTTTAGTTAACTTACGTCGCATTTCTGTCGAGACTCGTAGGTATGGCTCTATCTTCCTCTTTTTTCATAAACGCTCCTGTCGTGTCGTATATCTTGGTATTCAAACAAATTCATTTCGCATGAAAGATTGTTTTTAGGTTGCTGGCATCTTTATCGGCTTGTAGTAACAGTAAATATTGATGGTAATAAGTCATTCTTACAATGAATTAAACTCTGCTCTAGTTGGTTTTGAAACAGTTCGCTTCGGAGTAGTTCGCTTCGAAGAAGTTCGATTTGCTTTGAAGCAATCGTTTTGGGGAACGACCGGTGCTTTTCTTAGCCTTATATTTGGTGCTTCGAACTCTAATCATGCTTGACACAGAAATAGAATTTACAATCTCAAGTTCATCTTACCAACCTGTATTTTCATCGCCATCGCGGAATGTCTTCGTACAATTCACAATCTTTGAAGATTTTTCCTATCTCGCACCAACCGCTAAAACAAACGGGTCCCGTGCAATTTGGCCGAAAGCTTGATATCTGTACTTTTGAACTAATTTTCTACGATAATGACTTTTCTCTTGAGTATGCCGTCGTTAGGAGACGATACCATACCCGGATACGGTCATATGAGCTATCGTGGCGGGTACTATGTTGTATATTGGAGACTCTACGAAGTAGCTCCTCTTCGAAGGAAAGCATGAGTAAAGTAAGATACATATAGGGGCAGTTGAGTATAAATATGGACCTAAGTATTGCAATTATCTTCAATTTCCTTCTCATCTTTGCCCTCCTTCTTTTTTCTCCTTTTTTCTGTGTTCTTTCATTGTTTGCAAGTCTAAATTCATCTCTACAGACACAATGTCAACCATCTGTGGGTCTCTTGCCCAAATCTTCGTTTGATTTCCCCCATGCTGATATATGCCGCAGATGACGAACCCACCGGCTGCAACTGCGATAATGAATCCACTCATGATCAATCAGCCATCGACGCTGCATGCAAACAAGCATTGCTCTTGGCATTTGAAAAGAAAACCGTTGGGGAGGACAAATATCCCCACGCTTACAATGGTCTATTCTCCCAATCTTGACCCCTTTCATTCTCTCCCTTGCAAGCTCGTTTCCCTTCCGCGCATCATTTGCCCTCCAAACACCCCACTAACCCATCCAACCCTAGACTACGAAGATTTTATCTTTCTCCCCGCCGCTAAGAAACCCTACCTTGAATTTCCCATTCTCTCCTGCGGCACAATTTATAACGGATCAAACCCCACTTCCCCTGGTGCCGACCGCATCGTCATTGGAAGTATAGCTACCGATTACAAGTCTGCTATTTTCTGCGCAGTGATTACGCATGATGGCAGTTCCAAGGACGGGTTCACTGAGTGTATGAATACGGGAGATAATGGGGAGGGAGCTTATGAACGAAAGGAGAAGGGAGAAGAGGGGAAGGAGGGGAGGGAATTATTGGAGAGAATTGATTGATTTGTAGGGTTGACTAGGCATCAGATTTGTGTCCATATCGGAGACATGGGATGGGAAGGGAAGAAAGGTAAGTAGACTTTTGATGGTGATTGTATGGACTTCTAAAATGCCTAAGATTACTTGGAACGTATTGAAGCTCATGATGTCATCACAACTTCCTTCTTTGTTGAATGTATCATTGATATATTTCATCTGATTAGGTATGGAAGATAGATTCCAGTGTTTACAATCGTCTTATAAGTTATCTCACAATGAATTGGACTAAGGTGAATCTAAAACCAACAAACTAGCCTATTACACCTTATTCAACTCCTCCACATCTCAATCTCTGACTTATTGCCTCTAAACCATTTCTCAATCCAATCAAATATCTTCATATTCTCAACTCTTCTTCTCCCTCCCATATTGCTCGTTCCCCTCTCCTCTCTGGCGTTCCCGATTTTCTCAAATTCTTTATCTCTACAATGCGAAGTGAAATGAGATTGAAAATGATATCAAAGCAGGTTTAATCAGAAAGAACATACTTCCAACTCAATTCATTAAAGATTATTCCCACCCCCATTAATCCTAACCGAATACCTCCAATCCATCGACCCCGCCCCCGTACCACTCACAGGCAATCCACCCCTGTCCCTATCTCTCCTCCTATCCCTATTTCGAATCCAGTCTATTGAATCACCAAATTCTACTATATCTTCATGCGCACCTGCTTCGTTTTCATCCAATGTCCTTTTATCTGGTTCGTTTCCCAAGTTCCCATTTTCTAGACCGGGGATCGAACAATTTTGCTCCGCAAAAGGATTCCGCAATGTGTGTTGAGAAGAAGTAGAAGGATTCTGTGATACTTGGCTGCTTATACGACTATGTGTTAGACTCCGCATGGTGCTCCAAGTCAATACACGCTGTACTCCCATTCCTGGTCTAATTCTCCCGTCATACGGAGGAACGATCGTTTCCACTTGTTCTGTGTCTTTTTCAGTTCTGGTATCAGTACCAGTATCATTCCAATTCGCAAAGCCGAAACCACCAATACTCTTTCGATGGTCTTTGTTCTTCTTTTTACGACGTAGGATGTGCCAAAGTGTTGCTAGAATGAAAGTTAATGCGGCCAGGGTACCGATGACGATACCGGCGATCGAGGCGCCGCTTAGAGCGTGATGGGTTGAGATTGTTGAGGGGTGAGGGGTGAGACCAGTGGATTGCGAGCCTGCTCCGGTATTTGGGAGTGAGGTTGGTGTGGTTGTAGATGTAGATGTAGAAGTTGGGGTTGAGGGTAGGATTGAGGATGCTAACGATTCAGAGACCATAGTTTGAGAGCGTAGAGTTGTGGTTGTGGATGAAGACATATATGTGGACGTAGGTGATGTTGTGGTTGTATCTGATATAGATGAAGAAGTGACGGCGTTGGCGCTAGAAGGATTTGTTTTGATCGTGGATCTAGATGTAGAAGTAGTCGTCGGTGGGTTGGTGGTTGAGAGATAGCTATTTGGGACCTGGGGGTGAAAAGGTATTGGTCCGTTGCCGGTATTGCCGTTACCAATGGCTCCCAAGCCATTCTCATTGCCCACATAATTCCGTCCATTCATGTTTCCTCCTCCTCCTTCGCCGTTATCACCGTCATCTCGCTCACTTCCTTCCAACCAGTCTATCTCTCCTTCTCCTTCATCTCCAAGGCTAGGTACATAACCTTGAGGTGCCATAGAAACAGGAGAGGGACTCAGTCAAGCCGAATACAATGACACTTGAGTAGGGCGGTGCAAAACACTATTTCCTCGAACGAGATAAGTCGTTATGAAAGTAGAATTGTATTCCGTATATCCAATCAAACGTAACTTCAGCTCCAAAGAACAAAATGTTACAGTCAAAGAATGGGAAAAATAAGGTTGTGGGAAAAGGACACTGAAACTCAAAAGCAAATAACTCAAAGATCAACGAGTGAGAACAAGATTGTAGACGAGTTCATCGCGTGGAAATTGGCCTCAAACCGTCCCGCGACAATACATGACAGACCACGCCATGAAATGTGCCATCTCAACTCTTCTTTTCTTGCCAAAATACCTGAGCGCTGAAGTTCAGGTCAAGATCAAGATATACTTCTCGGATGAGAATTCTCGCCGTTACACTCTAAGTCAGGTCAGAGATTCGAAGGGAAGAGAGAGACTGTGTCGCAAGGAAATAAATCTTATCTTGTATGGCATTATCGCATCGTCAAACATAGCGACGGAGGGGTATAAACCTAGTTGTTGAATTCTGATGTTTTGACCTCCTTCGGGATAAGTTGGTGACATGTACGCATTGAGGAAATTGATAAGGTGGGGCATTGGTTGTTTCGTGTTTCGAGTTTAAGCTCGAGGTACTGTACCGTCTTACCTCAACTAACTGAGGTTGGGTCCAGCCGCCTTTAGATGAAATCAAACTATATACAATATAGTTCTAATCGTTTAAAATCGCTAATGTATAAATATGGATCCAAAATGAGCTCCACTTTCCAGATTCTTCCAATAATGTAATCCATTCAGCTTTTGGCTTGATCGATTGCTAGATCAAATACGGTTGGACTCAACCTCAGTTAGTTGACGTAAGGCCATGCCACCAGAAAGTCCGCAACTTGGGTAGACATGCACATATTATATACTGGTAAACTACAAGGGAGTAACCTAGTTTTTTAGTTCCCGAGTTGCGGACTTTCTGGCGACATGAGTATTAGCTTTGGAAGCTTCTTACAGTTGGTTAGGAAACTTCTTTCATCTCTGTTACACCTCGCTTATTTCGCAAGAAGAGTGGTTTGAGCTCATGAAGTACTGATACAAGGATATAATAACTCACAATGTATTGGAATTTCGCCTGTACGAAGCAGCTAATTGTAAATTTCCCTCGAATTGTATATCGTATTGGAGACTGTAGTTATTGGTCGACCATTCTCGAATAAAGAGTCTCAATCGATCCCCAACACGCATAATTCATCCCCAATGCCATGATTTACAGCCAAATCTTGAATAGAGTCGTAAACTTGTTTTGAAATCTTCAACCATTGCTGCATAAAAGGTGTCGGGTTTGATCGGGTCAAGACACCCAGAACGTGCAATCCTTGCCGAGAACACCACCTACGTCTGATTTCCCCAGGATGCATAGCTATCAATACCATTCCTATTCCTTGGTTATATCCTTCCATATCCAATTGAGATAGCATTTCTCTTCCAAGTTCGTGGCATTGGTCGTAATCATGCGCCCAATAAGCATTGATGGCTTGTGTCGCTTTTGTGATGTGGCTAGCTGCATGCAATAATTTGTCACTTGCTTCACTTGTCGACAAACGTAGAAGCTCGTAGGGATTCATCGCATTTCCCACCCGAGCAACTACCTCTTCATATGATTCATACTCGCTAGGTCTTACCTTTTCAGTGAGAATAATATTTATAGCTCGCAATGCAAACAGAATCTGATCAAAGGTTGCACGTAACTCGTGATAAGAGGCTCCAAGTGTAGCAATTCCGACTCGAGTGCAGTCGTCTTTTGCCTTGGTGACCATTTCTCTCGCTTGTCGATTCGTAGCCAATAACGAGTTGCTGAATTCAACATTGCTCGGTTTGGTGAGATCCGGCTCGGTCATGAAATCAATGGCGCATTGTGCCTCTTGGTCAGCCTCAAGTTTTAGTGTCTCGGCAAAGCAGCGAAGAAGGCGAAGTATTTCCGAATCTGACAGATCTCCCACCGCTCGTTTGAAATATTGTTCCAAAGCCTCATTACACTCCTTGACACGGAATGCCGTATCGCTCCTTAGATCGAGATATCTGAGTCTCCGTAGTTGACTGAACTCATTGTCTTTTTCAATCAAAGCGATATCATAAGCCTTTCGTTCGTCAGGGTCTAATGACGAAAGTAACTTGGCATTTGATGCAACAGCATCCACCTTAAACATCCACCCTCTTTTAGATTCATTGAAAACATAATTCCATAACTCCGGACGAGCGGGATCTGGCTCAACGACATAGACTGGAGCTGGTATAGGTACTATTATAGAGATCCCAAAGTTTCTAGCCATTCGTTCCCAAAACTCGTCAGTATGTATGTGCTCATAGTATTTTGATACGATGGGTACAAGTTTGTTTGTCTCCTCAAACTGTGTAATATCCTCCCCAGCTTCGTGCAAGAAGATTCCTTTATCGTATTTACGCGACGGAATTTCTTTACTGAGTAATAAAGTGACTGCTGGAGCACCAACAATGTTCGCCGGGTTTAGAAACTTTGGATTTGCACCGAGAAGCTAAAAAAGCTGTCAATCACTGTTGCTTGATGACTTTATTGATTCCTTAAACCTACCCCTTTGACAAAAGAATAGCCTAATTCGCAAAATACTTCAGCACCATTCCCATCCACATCGCCACCATATGCAGGCTCGTTTCGTATAATAGTTCGTCCCATCGGAGGGTCTTGAAGCTGGTTGAGCGTGTGCTTGGTCACTGTCAGCGATCATACAGTAAATAAAATAAATCAAAGTGACGAGTCTTACTGCGAATTCATGCAAAAAAGTTGAGGCGATATAGAATTGACAAGACATTCTCTCTATTGGTAATAGATCGTTCCTGAACAGCGGTAAAAGCATTTCGAGAGCAATGTCAATCCAGGCTTTGTTCTCTGTGAAAAATTCGTGATTCCTATTCTGCCGCTCGGTGGATAACATTGTGTAGCCTTCCCAACCCAGGCCAATTCCATTTGGCGTTGTCCTATTCCAGGGTATGAGAAATGAAGAGCCGATACCAAATTGAACTCTATTTTTCATTATAGCTTTCAACTGTTCCGTTTTTATTGCCGTTTGAGCATCATCTCGAACACTTATATCCCTTTTGTGAAAAAATTTCAACGGCCCCTGTTCGAGTTTCTGCCAAGTGGACCGACGATCGAGGGCTTCAGGGACATCGGTGCGAAGTCCAAAATAGAAAGCATCAAGCTACGGAGTCAATTATTTATAAGTGGCCGAACAAAGTTGATAACTGCGAAGGGATAACATACCCAACATGTGGCCCCGGAGTGATTTAAGAACCTTGTACACAACCTCAAGATCTGGTCTAAACGTCGCCAGACCGCAGGATTCTCAGCCGTCCAAAATCCAGTGTTATCTGGTTCCAGGGGGAAAAATGGTTTGTGTGGTGGAAATTCCATCCGAAGTACTGGCCATATGTCACTCGTGTGGTGTGGCTGCCATTGCTGAATTTCAAAAAGTGGACTGGTAATCAATTAGTCATAAATGTCTTTGAAATTGCTAAATCTAATTTGATTGCTATTCAACGAGGATGCGGCTGAAGAATCAATGACAGAAAAGAATGTCAAAGTGACAACAACAGATGCACAGATGAGTATAATAAAGGATCAATCACTCAATAGGATTAGTTAGAACAGGTGTAGAGTCCAGATGATAAGGATACGCGCCGATCTCTTCCAATAGTTCAGGCCAAAATCCAGACATAAGCCATTTCTGAAGATTCCTCCTTTCGTCCTTCAATTTCGGATTATCAGGTGCGTTTGGTGTCAAAGCTTAAATATGAACTTATTAGCTGATGCCATTTGAGTTTGAAATGGCATACATACCCGATTTGCCATAAGGATGAAAAAGTTGTGTTGGGTCCGCATACTCCGGTAAAACGCCATATTTACTGGCCCACTCCGTACCACCCTCAGTTGCCCAGATGCTGTGGAATCGGCCAAGTTTAGGATCCCAATTCGTCAAGGGGTTTTTTGCAACCATGACTACGCCTGCTTGGAAACAACTTTTATACAACCGCAAATTTCAAGAAGTAAACAAGACCTATCAATGACCTAGAACCCCCAAGGTCTTGGTAAGGAAATCGATAAAAGAAGGCACTAGGCTTGAGTCGAGACTCCTTGTTGAGAACTTTCAAGGCAAGATTTGGCATTAACGGAAAACTATATAATTATTGCCATGAGAAATAGACGATTCTTTGTTTGAGGACTGAGACCAATGAAAGAACTTTTGCAGCTCCGTCAAGAACAAAGGTCAAAACTATATCTTATCCCTTTGTATCTCCGTACATAATCTACGGAGACCATATGACTAGGGAGCAACACACTTGCATTGCTCGAACAGGCCTATTTGCTTTCCTCAATCTGAACATCACAGGTTTACAGGTGAGATATATCAAAACATGTTTCGCTTTCTATCTGGTCAAAGTATCAAGTTTGAATTTTAAGATGAATGAAATACTAGAGGATCTGAAGTATACTATAGTATGATGTGTGTTGTTTTGTGTGAAGAGAAACTTTTACGCGGTAGGCTTTCGCGAGGGTGTGGCTGATGAAATGTGGCTTGTAACCTTATCCCAGGGGCTGATTTTTCATCGACCATTTTCGCGGCGACTACAATGAGACTTATCTTAGAGTTTTCTCATTATTTTTAGTTGTGCTTCGATATCTGAATGGATTTTCTTTGTTTCCGTATTTATTATCTCCATTTAGGCTGGAAATTGGTGAAGAAGTTCGGAGATGTGTCGAATATTCGTGAGGAGAGGATACATAGGAGGGTTCATGGGTTATTTGAGATCTTCATGTAGGTGTAGAGACTTGAGTGAGGAGACGGAAAAAAAACGGAAGGTTGGAGGATGGGGATGGGATGAAAATGGGAATGGGATTGGTGGCAGATCAACGTCTCGATGATGTATTTTTCTGGTGTGATCCTGGACGATGAGCAGATGATGAGCCCGGCCCAGCTATAGTCTCATTAGCTCCGATAAAGAGATATTGTATAACAACTCTAAATCGAGCTTGCAGATTATAGATTATAGATCTCTACAAATATGCAAATGTTGTATCTCTCTATCCGCAAGTCACAAGTATAAGTAGCAACCAGTAGAAGCTGAAGACATTCTAGCTCGCAAGATCAAAGTTAGAATCTCCAGAGTATGAAAACAAACGAGTATATATTGTTAGTGTTATTCCTCAGTCTAATTAAGCTTTGGCTCAAGAAAACACAGTGATGAATAATGAGTATTGGACACAAACTCGCAGCTCTCAAGAGTCCGGTATTTGTATGATGGTGATTTGAACGAGCTAAGTACTGATGAAGGTAAGAAGAAACCTGCTTCCTTGTTGCTAAACAAACATCCCGAGAATATCTAGGCTGGATTTGGTCTAAAAGTCTACTCGAGTATATATATACAGACATTGTAGGCTGTAGGCGAGCCACTCTACTTTTTCCTTACAGATAGTACCGTATCTTCATTCTAGGTGAACAGATATCTCATCGTTTTGGAAAGGTAAGAAAGTGAAAAAGAGAAGCTGCGGTGATGTAGATCTGCGGAGTACAAGTAGGATGTACAGAGGTAAGGATATGCATATGGAATTCAACTTTGAATTCAATATCTACTAATAGGATTGACATGAGTGTATGGAGAACAAGTCCTTGATGTCCTACTATGAGAATCTGCAGAGTGTAATGAATGGAATTGACTCCTCTGATCCTCAACCGAATCTCGATTTAGGGACAAACTTTCATAACCTTCATATCTAAGCTATAGGAACTCTTCAATCTTTTTATCGTAATCCTCCTATCTTAAAGAAAAGATCAACTTTGATCTTTAGGCTTGAGGAATTCCTCAATTTTCTCATCGAAGTCCTTCCTGGCTTATCATTCCTCAAGATAACTTTCTTGTTGTTCATGTTGATAGCTGAGAGGGCGGTGACAATGTGGTGCTTAGACTTTTGGTGAGCTTCGTGAATACCTCTTAAGTGAAGCTTTTGATGTTGCTTACATTTGAATGGTTTTTATTGGCGGGAAATATAAGTGATGACTAATCATCAACAATGACGCTGATCAATCATGAGCCTCGGAAAATTATAACTTACTTGACATTTGAGCCAGCAATAGTATCCCACGACCAAAAACCATTCTATCATACCTAGGTATACTCCCTCAAACCATCTGCCATTGACAATCTGAGAGTTCCGATATCACCTTTGCTCTAAAGCTTCTTCCAACCGGCGCCTTCAAGATTCCCCTGTATCTCTCTTATCGAATTCAAACACAACCCCTCCGCATCATGGACAAACCCGCCCTTTCCGGCCTGCGCCATCGTCTACGAACCCGAGCTCTTCTTCAAAGCCGTAGCTTGAGTTTAAGAACCGCTTCAAAGCTGTCGAATTCAAATGTTCGTGCTGCACAAAACATACGTTCATACTCTACTCCCGCAAACATCTCACCCTGCGCTCTCCCACGAATCCGTGCTCCTCACCCCTCGTCCGCACCACTTTCCATCCTCAGATTCTATAGCAGCAAGTCCTCATCTACAATCACAGGTACCATCGGTGCAGGTGCGGACGGCGTCGCCGAAGAGGTCAATCGCGCAGCAGATATACTTGTAGCGCCAGACCATCTCGACGAGGCAGAGAAGAAGATATGGGATTTACTGTATAGCGAACTTAGCCCAACGAAACTGCAGGTGCAGGATATAAGTGGTGGATGTGGAAGTATGTACGGGATTGAGATTGTTAGTGAGAAGTTTAGGGGATTGAACATGTTGAAACAACAAAGATTGGTAAATAAAGTTTTAGGAGAGGAAATTAAGACGTGGCATGGGGTACAATTGAGGACGAGCGTGCCTGAATGAAGCAGCAGAAATGCGAAATATCAATTCATTGCGTCCCAATTCATATATTTCCGATCAACACCGGATTCGCGAAGGGGCCACATGCGATGGTCATCAGTTTATTGCGATGTATATATATATTTGCCTGCGTACTTACCGGCTATGGGAAGTTATAGACGAGAGGACATGGGCCATATATGAGGTTTTAGAAGCGGTGGGAATGGTGGCTGTATAATATGGGCGGACAATTAGTATTCATGAACATTAGAATGATCATTCTGAGCTTCCCCAGTGGAATGAAGCCCAATAATTAAAATGCAATTGACTATCACCTCTCTTTTACTAGCGTAGCTAGGCAGATCATTTTGAAGAAATTTTATTTCATATAAAGACCAAATGTGATTGGGCATCCCCTTTCCTTCTCGGTTGCAGTTAGCATACCGCTGTGTTGAAGTCTGAAGCAAGTGAAATTCCTTTCAAATAATCCACCATCTCGGCTCAGGTGTTTTTTTGCTCATCTAAGATTAATTATGATGTTTTACAATCTCAAGTGCTGCCAACCATCTGGCTACTTAGCCCCACTAACATTTTTGGTTACTTATCTCAAATGAAACTTGATGCCCTATCATCTCAAGGAAATTATTAGATATCCGGGGTGCCGAGGTATATCTATCCGATTAGTCTCTTGAAATTCACTCAAGTTGGACTTGTACACAAGAGCTAACATCTTCTCGTCCAAATTGAAGAATGGACTGCTTGAGGCTAGATAGTAGATTTCCTTCCTCTAACCACTCGTCTTGTTGGCCCAGGGCACGAGACTCGGGATCATATCACACGAAATATCTAAGACTTACCCCTGGGCCTCCAAAAATTAAACGTTGATACTAAGTTTCAAACGAACTAGCCATTCGCCTCAATTAGTTTGTTTGCATACACGTAGCAGGAACTATCTAATGTCTACTCACTCAGCCAAAGATAAAGCGACGGTTCTGAGGGCTGAAAAGCCATTACCAGTTTATTCACTTTCAGGTCTCGCTTATGGATTTTGGTTATAAATCACAATATCATAGTGTTATTTGTTAGTAATAGGCGAGTGCTAGATGGTAGTGATGGCGAATGAATGGATTATTATTGGTATGTTTTAGGAGTGGTCTATTCGAGTGCTTTCTGATATCTTTGAATTTTTAACAATATATATACTTCTACTCCTGCCGAGTCTATGTATAATCTACCATCCTAAATAGTTCTCCCATTGCATCTTAACTACATTGTCTATATTATCGGGTTTACTCGTATGACTTGGCAACTTTTCTGCGATACATTTCGTTACTGCTTCGAAGAGGATCTTGTAGCCTTCGCCGCTGAAGTGTAGACCTGTTAATCATTTCATCAGTGACAATTTTTGTATCTGGTTTTGACATCTTTCCATGAAGGTTTGTTAATTGCTTACCGTCATATAACAGTTTCCTAAGTTCCTCATGTTTTCCATTTTCTTCTAGACCCGGCATCAAGGCGAGGTCATCATCTTCTTTCCATCTGTCGACAGTCGGGCTCAGTTAGTGTTTTTCAACGACTCCTGATCTCCAATCAGGCCGCAATCAACAAATGAGGACTAGAGGAGATTACCCACCCACACGCATTCATAAACGCACTCCAAATATCCACCACTCTCAATCCCCCTTCCTCCCCTATCTTGATCAACGCATCTCTATACTCCCTCGTGTCCTTCACCCATCTAGGTTCATCCAAATTACCCCATCCAGCATTCGTATCTCTACAGGTCGATTCATCTACCGGTGCTGGCGTCACGAGTATGATTCTCGGTATGAGCTTTGATTAATGGACGATATATGATTTTCTTGAGATATTCGACAAATTGAGGAAGAGGAACATGTTGGTTTGTAGATGGTCCGCGGTTGAGATCATTGGCGCCGAAGAAGATAAGCTGGTTTGATATGCTTTTGATTGTGGATTCACTTTGGGGAGGGTGACGTACCAGGAAACAAATTTTGGCTTGTTCGGGTATCGGAAAGATTTGTGGAAGTACTTCGAGTGCGTGGTTGGTGTTGTAGCCACTGTCGAGATATGTTATTGGATGCCCCTAGATTTCTCGTTAAGGTTCTGGAGAACATACCTAAAGCCTCGGTTTATGATATCGAGTTTTCTGGCGTACGCTGTATGAATATAAGAAGGTCAGTTGATATATTGGATCAAAGTCTTTACACGGTGCTGTTTCAACCATTTGACCATTGCTCTAGCGGTAGGGAGTACATAGGTCTCATACCATTTTGAACTGCAGATGCAAATGAGAGCCCGTTGGGTTCATTCGAGCACTGAGTGATGCTGTCACCTGATGTGATATATTAATATTAATTCTCTTATTCAAAATACGAAGATGCAACCAACCAAACAGAATAAACTGATCATAGGACGCCTGAAGATTTAGCATCCACATACCATGTGATTTTCCTCCTCCATTCAGAATGTATTCACCATGTCTATCTTCCGAACTGTTCGTCAGTAAGTAAATTGCCCCAGAAACACAACCTACGTCCAAAGTACCTCAGAGTGCAAGCAAATCAACAAGAGTCCTCGGTCCCGGATACATCCCACCACGATTCACTTCGAGCCGCTTCCTCACTTTCATAACGTACGATCAAGGCATTGTATCCAAAGCACGTGATGAATGATAAGTCGTAATTGGTATTTTTCATTACAGCTGCATCCAATCCTTGTATTGGAACTTCCACCAATTGAATAGTGTGGGAGTTGGAACTACCCCGCATTCGTTGTGAATTTTGAGTTAGACAGACGAGGCGCCGATATCGACGGAATTTGCTGGAGGAACATGAGAATGTATGCTCATGATGACAGCTGGGTAGCAATAATTACAACGTGATATAAAATTCCAGGTCACAGAATTCGAAAGCTCCTTTGAACCGGCCACGAATCATCCAAAAGCACAGATATTGATACCGTGACATTCAAAATGCCTGTCCCAGAAAACCTCCAAGATCTCAAAGATGTTTTACATCCCCACTTCCACTTCGGCTATGCAACCGCTGCCCCCCAAGTTGAAGGCGCTTGGAATGTCGACGGGAGAGGCATTTCTATCTGGGACGAATTCGGCCATACCGCTGGAAAAATAAACGATTCCAGTATCTGCGACGACACGGTTCTTTCCTAATACACAACTGTCGAGGATGTCACGCTCATGAAAACTTATGGCGTTACTGGTTATCGATTTTCGCTTTCTTGGACGCGGATTATTCCTCTAGGTGGAAAAGACGATCCTGTTAACGAGAAGGGGTTGAAGTATTATAGTGAGCTTGTGGATGAGCTGTTGACGAATGGAATTACACCTTTCGTGACGCTTTTTCATTGGGATATGCCTCAAGTGTTGGAGGATAGGTATGGATGTTGAACAAGGAAAAATATACTCCAGATTTTGTTCGTTATGCAAAAGTATGCTTTGAGGCATTAGGTGACAGAGTCAAACATTGGATTACTTATAATGAACCTGGTGTCTATACGTTGGCGGGGTACGCAGCGAGTGTGCATGCGCTAGGACGTTCGTCAAATCGAGATTTGAATGAAGAGGGAGATTCGAGCACCGAGCCATTTACGGTGGGTCATACGGAGCTGGTGAGTCACGTGTATGTGGTGAAGATGTATCGGGAATAATTCAAAGAAAAACAGGGCGGGACCATAATGATCACGTTGCATGGAAACTACTCGGAGCCGTGGAATGAAGATGATCCGTTGGACGTGAAGGCTGCGGAAAGTGCGAGAGAGTTTAGATCACGTGGTTTACAGATCCGGCGTATAAAACAGGTGATTGTCCGGCTAGTATGCGTGCACAGCTTGGAGATAGATTGCCGAAGTTCACGGAGGAAGAATTTGAATTGATTTTGGGGTGTTCTGATTTCTATGGTATGAATAGTTGGTGGTTTTCTGTCTCGAGCTGATCTCACTAAATCACAAAATTCGTCCTTTATTTCCAGAACTGTCACGCGTGAAAGGAATATGAAAAAGAGAGTTTCAATGATCTGTGTATCGATAGCAGATCCTTCGCATAAAACTCCCTTATGCCCTAATTCGTCAATGTAAGAGTTTTCTGGGGATAGAGATGACCTCGTGATTAGATATGTGCCCGTAGAATCTTCGACAAGAAAGTCTAGCATGAAGAGAACACTTCCCTTTACAACAGGAAACATTCTTTTGAGAAACTTTGCATCTTCACTATATTTGTATATCTCCCAGATATGAGTACACAACCATGCACCACTCATTGGCCACACTAAATCATTTTACATTAGATAAAAAAACAATATCAGGGGTTTTGGAAGAATTTACTTGTACCCGGCATCCACCGATCTTGAGGGACTGTATCGGCCCAAATGTCTGTACAACTATGAGATTTCCATCCCCGGCAGCCACACATAACTCTAGCAGTCTTTTCTCCACGATTAGCCATTCGTGCAAGAAGATCAAATAACGGATCCTCGCACTCTTTCAGATTGCATACATTAGCTGGCCAATAATTCATCTGAGTATTGATACTAATTGTGTACTTTGAGCCCCATGCAGGCTGGAACGATGGATTCCATAGCCCTTGCAAAATCGCAGGAAGAGCTTTATGTCCCGGTCGACTACAGGATATAAGCAGATATCGTCCATAATTAGCATACAAAGCAATCAAACCAGGATCCGGAGTGACCGCCAATCTCTCGTTTGTTGGTATATGGGCAGCATCAGGGAGAAGACGAAGTTTGAATCGTCCGTATAATGAATTGTAAGCTTGAATATGTCTATTCAAGAGATCTGTATGCCCATACAAGGCATCAATTGCTTGAGACAAGGTAGTAGCTTCGAGATCTGCATGGCGAAATGTTGTTTGTGCAGAGACAACGATAATGGCTTTTGAGGAGTTGACTATAACACAATTCCCTACAGTCTTGATTGCACCATCACCAACTAAATCTCGGAAACTGACGACGCAGCAAAGGCTATTACTGTTTCCTCCTCCGGGCGTCCCACGCATAACAATATTTCCATCTAGTGCTTCGATAGAGTCGACGAACTCATCAGTAGTGTATTCTCGGTCACTGTATCTCGATAAGCGGAGGGTGAACTCTGTTTTCTCTAACGCCTCCCATTGAATGACCAATACATCGTCAGGATAGCTTGCGAATGCCCTGCGTTTGTATTTAATTCCAAGATACTCGTACTTCGTGGTCACAGTTGCAGCTGACAGGTCCAGACCCCTCCAATAGTTTTTCACTTCCGCTGGATCGTGTTTAAGCTCCAAGGTGAGGGTTCCGAGTGGTTCGTAATGTCTTTGGCTATGAGGAGTGGCAAAGAATGCCTGTTCAACCAACTTTTCCGCCTCTGCATGATCACCTCTCCGGATAAAATGTCGCAGGCGTTCTAGATTCTTAAACGCGTCTTTGGGCGTACGATCTTGAGGACCACCATACCAAACAGAGTTTTCGTTCAATTGGAGGATTTATCTAGATTGAAAGTAGCCATGATGTTTGATGTCAAAAGCGTGAGATACGATCAAGTTGTCAAGTTCTCATGTTTGCTACAAACATGAATACATACGGTCAGGTCAGGTCAGTCTCAGTGCATCCTCTTCCGCAAAGAATTATCTCTAATCCAATCGCTTTAGATTTGATACAGGATACATTTATCCGCAAAGTTTATTGAAGCATAGACAACCTATAGTCAATGACACAGTGAACCTTGAAGCACGGCAGGAAGCATACAATTCTTGTGCAACGGTTCTCTTTGAACACTTCCTTTTATACCTTTAATTCTCCCTTATCCAGCTATTCGAGTATTTCGGTCAAGAACATCCAAAGAAAAGAGTATCACCGTTTATTGCAGACTCCATCAGCAATACAGAACAATTCTGAATTGCCTTGACAAAGTCCCCAAGGCACGAGGGGCCTACTTTTGTCCCTCGACAAGTGACGAAAGCAAAATCGCAATGACATCAAGATTTGACAACAAGTTGGAATCAGTCGACTTCAAGAATGCCGAAGAAAATGTGGAAGAAGTCACCATCGCTCGTCTGACCGAGGAAGATCTACTTTTTCTCTCTCAAGAATCGCTGAAGTTTAAATCATGGACAACTTTTCGCCTTTTTTTGATGATGTTTGTTTAAGGTTGTGGTGTAGCTAGATATGGTATCGATTGGGCCATCATTTCAAGAATCAACGCCTTCAAACCCTGGCACGCATACTTTGGATTCGGCACAAGCGGTGTGACTTATGGTACATTGAACGCTTTGATGACAATCGGAACTGTGTGTGGTGCCCCATTCCTGGCATTTTCTGATGTCATTGGAAGACGAGACATCAACTTCGCGGGGAAGCTCATTGTGCTTTTCGCATCTCTTCTGTAAGCCTTTTCGGTGAATATCAATATGTTCATGGCCGGTCGTTTCTTTCTATGATTTGGTTCGGCAATGTCAAATCAGATTGGTGCTGGAGAATACCTTTGCTCCTAGAAGGAATGTTTCCTTTGATTGTATGCTTGTAGATCTACCCATTAACACCGGAATTGCCACGTTATCTTATTCTAAGAGATGAGAAGGAAAAGGCCAAGCGAGTCATTGCAAAGATGAAGACCACAGAAGCCAACAATGTGGATCACCCCTTGGTAACCATTATCGCAGACCAGATTGAAGAATCCTTGCAGAACGAGAGACAAAACAATCGTTCTTATTGGGATTATCGAGTTCTATTCTATGGCAGATCGGCTAGATACAGAATGTTCGTCCTGGTTCTGTATTCAATCTTCTAACAGTGGAATGGTGATGGTATTATTGGGCAGTATCTCGTGCCTGCCCTTGACACAGTCAGAACAACTGGAACTACCGAGCAATTGGGAATGAACTTTGGCCTTAATGCGACGTATCTTGTGTTTACTGTGTGCGGTTCCTTGATCATCTATAAATTCCGAAGAAGAACATTGATCTTTGCTGGACTGATCAGTTTCATTCTTTTACAGACTGCTGCTACAATAACCTCGTGGCGATATCAAGTAACCGAAAGCAAAGTGGATGCCGGACTCGTTGTCACCTGGCTCTTCTTATTCCAAACATGTTCATCTTTGTTGATTGCAACCATGCACAACCTTTACCCTGTTGAGATATTATCGCTTGATATGAGGGCGAAGGGGGTGGGTTTGTATGCTTTTGTGCAGGGAGCAGCCGGAACCGTTCAGAATTATGGCATCTCAATTGGCATTCAGAAAATCGAATACAAGATTTGGGTTGTGTATGTTGGGTACAACCTCATACAGCTGGTTCTCTCATATTTTGTTTTCCCGGAGACGTCTGCGTTGAGTTTGGAGGAAATTGATAATGTATTTGAACCACCAGGCGTCAGACCGGTAAAGATGTCCCTAGATATTCAGAAGGCCATTTAGCGGTGTTCATTATTGATGGAGGATAAAGTAGCTAGTGCCAAGGGAGCTGAGAAAGGCTTTCTGATGGATTCGCTGTCAGGTTCCTTTATGATACTTATGTACCGGTATTTGTATACCATTATTGGTATGAATCAATGAGTTCCCCACGTTTCTGATTCACTTGAGACTCAATCACGTATTCTATCTACCTTATTATCCATAGATTGAATGATCTCCCGGCTCGTATGGTATTCTTGAAATAGTGATAGAAGTAAGTGTTGGCCATTTGAATCTTCAGCTGACTAATCAATCTGAAACTTATTACTACTCGTACTCGGTAACTCACTCGTCGGTAATTTTACATTCATTCAAATCTATCTTGAAGACCTCAACAATCACCACTCAAGCTAATAATTATCGGTATTTCAATTCATTCTTCCAGCAGATCCCAATAATGGAATAATCCAAGCATGATCGCCCTCCATTTCGTATTTTCTCTTGTGGCAGCATAAGATCATCCGCATTGCAATATGTCCAGTAACCTTATCTCAAATCTTCATACACACTGACTCTCCCAAATTAGAAACTCTACATCTATAACTCATGGATAATCCGAGTATATTTTGTCTCCCGCTTTTGGCGGCTGCAAGAAGTCATCCGGTAAATCGGCTGGCATTTGTTGTTCTTCAGCCCAGTCTCTGACAGCATCAAAATCACGACACCTATGCTTCGTGTTGAAATCAACGTATGCCTCCGGGGCTTCAGGATGTACCCAAACTTGACCCATTACACCAATATCAACTGTACACATCAATTGTTGACGAATAATATCAAGACAGTGAGCTATCGAAATCATGAAGATCAGTATCTATTCAATGTTTCGTCATTAGTCACTTACAAACATGAAGCTTCAATATCGGAATATCATTCTTGAAGGCGCCTTCTCCTTTCTCATGGTAATAATCATAATTATACCATAGTCCTTGTCGAAGAAGATTCAAACAGTGAAGATGATGCAAGCCTTCCACGTTGGCGGGGTAACCTCCACCGTACTTCTCATTGATTTTCACTTGATCTGCTTTGAGTCCGGATTTGGCTGCAAGTACGGCAGGAACGGCGATTCCACGATAATCTACTCCTAAATTCTTCCAGGCCGCATCAACTTCTGGACCTGCGTCTTGTCGATACTCGTTGGGTTCAAGAAGCGACCCATTGAAAGGTATCGTGGTATAGGAAAGGCTCAGATCTTCGAGAACTGGAGCTGTAACAAAGTTGTTAGCCATTACTACCACGATAAATAATCATCTAGGATAGTGTACCTACAATATTGCGAAACATAATCCGTACATATTCCCTCAGGACTATGATTCCAGTGGCCACCAATCCAAAAGCCGATTAAGCAGATACTAATAAAGAGGATGAAGAAGACCAAAACTAGGAGAATCTGTGAACAAAGACCTTCTTCCTCTTCTTCCTGCCTTCCATATTCGGACGCAAGAAGAGATGTTCGACTTGTTGGTTTCGCCTGACGAGGGATTTCCTCAAAAACATATATTTTATCTGTGAGTTTGGTCCGCATGTTGAACATTTACTTATTTGAATGTTTATAAAAAAGGGATGATATTTTTGAGAAGATGGAGTACGTGGTGTTTGAAGATAAAGTGGGCTTGAGAACAGCGACATTTAGAGAACTGTAAAGGATACATCATGTCTCTCGATGACTATTGATCTGCGTCATTGAAGGGCGGTCGATGTCTGAGATAATGGCCTTGATTGGACTGTATAGGAGTTTGAGGTAAGTATTGGTCTGAATTGTCGCTCAAGCCAGAGATAAACTCTCACCACGATAGTGTTTGGATTGATATGAGACATCGGTACAACTCGACATTAAGTTATGTGTTGAAATTACACTCGTTCGACTCATCGTTGTTCGCTTACATCTTTGAAGCAATATTTCATCTGCTCATTTCAACACTTCAACCACGACACTTATTGGGCCTGAGATTTTTGATTCACGATATGATATCTTCACATGTATGCTCCCAGCTAATTCTTGAAGATGCAGTACTTTGATGTCGTATTTTCACCACTAGATATCTCTGTATCACGACATCGGCGATATATGCCCTTCACATTCAGCTTGTGCGCTCGTGTTTGAAACTTCTGTATCGCAGTGTCACCTCAAATTAAATCATCACTTCGTATTCTGGAACATAAGATGGATGATACATTCACAATGATTGTGCAATAGTTTTTGCAAAGAGTGTATAAGGACGATACTCACTTCCACATCTTCTACTAAAAGATAAACTCACAAGTCAGATGCTTTGGTTTAGGCTCGTACGTGTGAGATCCTCGAATAATAGCGTTATTCTACTGGAGTAAGCTTTATTTACCTTACCCACTGATGCATCCGCAAGCCATCTTCCACGCTCGTAGTGTTGTATTCCTTCTTGTTCATATCTATTATGAGTATTTCTATCATTATTGCGAAATCCCACATAAGATTTCATCATTTCTCGTCATTAATAAACAGCATTCCGAGTATAATCCCCCAATCGTAATCGTTAACCATCATTGCTCAAACTGTACATTTGTACTTCGAAAGCAGTCACATAGCACCTGTCAAGATTCCCTCCCGTTATGTACGATGACACCAATTCCATCAGCAGTATCCTAATTCTTCTTGCCATCACATTCTTCATCATCATCCTCCTCTTTCTCTGGGCCTATATATACTCTCGTCCCGTTCCCTCTCTCTCTCTACTTTCTCATCTCATCAATCTCATCCCATTCATCTCCATCCACCATCCCATTCGGATTCTCGCACTTACTCCCTCGAAAGCCCCGCCTATTCTTCAGTTCATTACAATGAAGTTCCTCGCTGAAATTTCATTGGTATTAGCCATGGCAGTCGGTGTCTTGGGTGGTGCATTGGATGCTAGCGCGAGTGGCACTGCAACTTCGACTTCCAGCGCGACTTCTTCCAGCGCGCCACCTTCAAGCGTTAGCACAGCGACGGCGACGACGACTACGACCACTGCAAACGCTTATGGTGCGTATGGGGATTATGGGAATTACGGAAAGTACGGAAGTTATGGGAATTATAAGAAGAGAAAGGAGAAGTAGTGAGGTGTTATGGAAGGTGAGTTGATGGTTGAGATGACAATCTTGCGGGGAGTGAGTTGACTTTTGTAGTGACGCTTCGGAGCTCGACTCTTCTGATGTTTTCTGGCTCCGTACTGACGGATTTGGCTTGGGTGGCTTGATGCTTTGTTCAATTAGGAGGGGCGTGTCTTACATGAATGTCCTTCATTTCAGGGTGGTCTCAGTCAAATCGTAAACTTTGAGGGTTGGTGGACATTTTGAGATTTTCTTCATCGCATATTTCTAGAGAGTAGGCAGTGCCTTCGAGATAAAATTTTGAGGCCTTTAAAGACATTCAACCACTCTACAAAACTTTAATGGCTTTTCAAGTTTTGGGTTTCATCGGGACAATATACAATGGCTGTGAATTCTTTAGGTTTAATCAAGTGATTTACAAGTCTTTGATTTGTATAAAAGAGTATTGGAATGTTTCCGTCTGGCTATAAGCATCTTGCAGCAATTATGTATAATTGTCATATGGCACTGCACTAGCATTTCTTCTAAATAAACATTGTAATGACAGCAGTGATATAATACTACTAATATCACTGACAACACTTCATTGAAAGTATGCAATTATTGTACTGTATTTCTTTCTTACCACCATTGTTGAACTTACCACCACCGGTGATAACAAACAATTGGGTGCTCAACCCCCGTTTCTGAAATGCTGCTCTTAGCAACCCTCGTTCGGCAGATCGACTTCGAATCGGAAGGAATATCACCCCCAATGTTGTGGACTAGATGAAAATCATTTGCTGCTTGCATTACGACAATTTGGTTGATATAATATCAAAAGAGCCGCGGCCGTCAAAGCATCGGCCAATATTAGCGGTAAATTTGGTATCTATTGGTGGCGGAGCAAATTGGGGTGAGGTTATCCGACTTTGATTCATTGAAATTGGCCACGTCAGGCGGCAGAGTATCTGATGTCGGGATTTGACCACATGAGGTACGAAACCCTATTTACTACCACCAAAACATAATTGCATTACTGACATACCTCACATTAGGAGGTATATCTTACTTTAGTGGGAGAGAAGGTTTGGTGTGTGACAATGTCGGGAATTATGAGGTGGTTCTCGCCGATGGTTCAATCGTCAACGCCAATCGAACCGAAAACCGTGACCTTTGGATAGCCCTGAAGGGCGGATCAAGCAACTTCGAAATCGCCACTCGCTTCAATATTCGAACCTTCCAGCAAGGTGATTTCAATGGAGGTGTTATTGTGTCCCCCAAATCTACGGTCGATACTCAGTTCGAGGGATATGTAAATCTTGATCCATATGCCGCTCTCATCATGAGTGTCTCATGGAATCAAATCAGGAATAGCTTTTCAGTCTTCACCAACCTTCAGTACACGAAGAATGATACAAGCTCAGCCGTACTGCAACCCTTCATCCAGGCCCTACCTCAATATTTGGATACAATGCGGGTATCAAACCTCACAGATTTCGCCAAGGAAGCTTCAAGATATGCAGCGCCTGGCTTGCGGTGAGACTGCCTGTATTAATCTCTTCTTGACAGGTTAAGATACTGAGGATACAATATAGCAACCAGTCCGCCACCACAACTTTCGGTGAAGGATTGGAGTCCCTCAACACTGTCTACAATATCTGGAACTCTAGTATCTCTGCCATTTCTTCCATCAATGGTACGAACTGGGCGATGGTAACCCAGCCATTTCCAACAGCGTTCGTCTCCTCGAGCACCGAAGCAAATTCACTCGGGCTTTCCACATCCTCGAACCACCAAACACTCTTCCTTCTTTCATACTCTTGGGCATCAGCCGAAGATGACCACGAGATGACAGCAGCTGCGCAAAAACTTGTCAACGATATTGAAGCTGCCGTAAGCAAGGTCGGGGTAGCCAATGACTTCAAATAATTACTTAAATTATGCCGCATATTGGAAGAATCCTATTGCTAGGTAAGGACAAAAGAATGTACAGAACCTGAAGGAAGTGAGTAAAAAGTACGACCCAAAGGGTATATTTCAGGATAAGTGTCCAGGAGGGTTCAAGGTCTCAAAGTATTGAAAGTATTGCGTGGTCAAGCAAGCTTAATGTCCGTCTTTTTGTGGACTAATTTTTTAGCATGGAGTAGAATTTCATTACCTTAGAAATCTCAAAACTATGCTTTAGAGCCCTCTCCAAAGTTCTTATACATAGGTTTGCTTCTTTTTAAGCTCTAATGCTCTTCAATTATACCCACGGGGACACAGAGAGAGGCGACTGTGCAGTCCAAGCACAGGTATCATACTTATTCTAAAGCTAGTGAGAAAAATTGTTGTTCTCCACAAAATTGTCCTGGCCCCTCTCTCCCAGCGCAAATCTTAAAGCACATTCTTCCACTCTTCTATCTATTGTCTTTCGATCTGTCCAGGCTTTCCCTTTGCTCTTGAATCACGAAATTAACGGCGTCACTTTCATTAGATGTTCCTGCGTTATCGTTTAACTTGAGATTATCTGATCCATATAAATGGACCATTTGAGGGTAAGGATAGATGACTCGTATACAGCTACGAATCTATTCTAGCTGGCAATTCATTCTCACTGGCATATCATATCATGAGATACCCTGTCAATATGAAGTATTTTGTCTAGCACTATATCAGAGTGGCAATATTCCACACACCCCGCAAAACGGCCTGGACCACACCGACTCCCTTCCCCCCTTCTTTGCCCATCCAAACGCCAACAACTAAGCATCAAGCTCAGGAAATCCCTGATCGTCCTCTATAAAGCAAAGGTAAAGTATTAACAGAGATTTTCTTTTTCCAAGTTCTTAGCGGCAATCTCCTAGTGAGAATAGAAACTCATCCGTTCCTACCACGGCTTGCAACGAGTATACTGATTATATCGAGCAAGTCTAACGATCTTTTATGAGAAATATATGATCTAGTTTTATGTCTACCGACCTTCCAACAAATCTCTCCGTTCGAAATACCTCTCAAAGTTTGACCCACATCTCGCTCACAGTCTTTCTTCGCTTAATTTCTCTTGCTGTCAAAAACAGAACACCTCCCGCTGCTAGACAAGCTCCAGCAAAGGCTTGTGCTCCGATGTAGCTTCTTCCAGAGGTTGTTATGAGTAAACCTGCAACTGGTGTACCTATGAGGGCTCCAAAAACTAAGAACCCCGAACACCATTCCCATCCGAACTCCTTGCTTGCTAAGATCCGAGTTTAAAGATGTCAAAGCTGCTGGCGAAAGCGACTGAATACCCCCGAAAAATAAGCTGTAGAATACCGTCCAGACGTATAATCCGGCGACAGACGAGACCGTTGTCCAGGTAAACATAGACAAAGAGCTGAGTAACACCATTGCAGTGAATACATTCAGCATGCCAAGACTTTCGGCAAGAAAACTAGGGAGAAGACGACCAAGTAAACCCACACCGTTGAGTATCAATAAGAGATCTAGAGATTGTATGTATGTCATACCCTGGATATCTCGAGCATATGAAGCCAAGAAGAAAAAGGGAACAAATGCCCCTGTGTAGGTCTGTGGAAATGGTCAGCAAAAGAGCGAGCACGTTAGTATTTGGAAGGAGAGTAACATATAAGGAGGCGAATGATCTGGCAGATCATGTAGACATACCAGAAAAGATCCGACTGCAAAAAGGCTGTACTCGACTTCCTTGAATGCTTGCCAGTCGATGAGTGATCCAGAAGATCTTGGAGGGATTCTTGGCCTTATGAAAGCGAGAGCGGTAAACAGGGTGACTAGTTGGATGAGTCCAATGGCTCTCATCGTCCAACCAAATCCAATGGAAGGTAATAGCGTTCTGGCTATGCTGGGAAAGATAAGTCCTCCTACCACGCTACCACACGCTGCGGTACCCATCGCTAGCGCTCGTTTCCTTTGGAAATAAGTGGAAACGACGGACATAGCTGGAGCAAAGAGCAGGCCATTACCCAGACCTACGCACACTCCTTGAGCAAGAAACAACTGCCAGTATGCTTGGCAGATTGACGCCATAAAGGTTCCAAAGGCAGTCATGAACGCGCCGGTTGTAACGAGAGTGCGAAAGTAGCCCATGTCTGTAAAATAGCCGGATAATATGCCCAAGAAAAATAGAAGGAAAATCTCGAACGAGCCAATCCAGGCTATTTCAGATGGGTCGCGCTGCAGCTTCGTGACGTAGTAAGATTCAAAAACACCGAAGGAAATAAATATACCCCTTATGGTCATTAGTATGTGGATGATCTCTTCTAAGACACATCCAAGGGGTCTGAGCCACGAACCAAGTATTCATGATAATGAAAAAGCCAGAAGCGACTAATGGGAGAATTAGCAAATTGTCGCTACTTCTTGATGGATGCTGTAAACGTACCGGCCGCCCATGCGCGAAAGCCACCGTCAGGTGCTAAATTATCAGCGCTACTCGTTCCGGGAAACTTACTGCCCGTCGCGACGATGGGCAGCGTCATGTTCAATATCGGTAGATCGCTTCTGTTTCCCGGGTGTTGCTGTTCCTGCTCGCTGTTTCCCATTGTAGAGAAGTCAATTGGGAATTTAGGAGGCAGATAAAAAATGCAGATAGTATGAAATTCTGGCTGATTCAAGTTCACATGAATGCAAGAATCAAGCTGGATAACAGTACTTATATAATAATGCTATTACAAGCTTACCAATCTTTCTCATCAGTCCTGTGCAAGATCGGCATATCTCGAAGCTTCGTCTACGGCTAGAACAGTGGGACTTACCGCTTGTTCCGATGCAAGGTCTATAATCCCTTTTTCATAACTGTAGATCAAGCGAGATTATCATTCTTGAGCCGGCTGTTCTGGTCTACCCGTTTGTCAATATGAACGATTAGTCAATTGGAATATGCTATCCGAATGGGGCTTTCTATTGATCAATCGGATAATGCCTTGTAAAATCGAAGATATATTCATTTACGACATCATTTGAAGCTAAACCTCCTCAGACCCGAAATAACCTTTTGACCTGCCACACAGTAATGGTGTAATGGAAGTGAAATAGTATGAAGATGGTAGTAAAATTATTAGTCCTACCCCCGTTCAGTTCATTACTTGAAAATAACAATAAGTAGCGATGAAAATAGTGATGAAAATAGTGATGATAATAGTGTTAAAAGTAGGCATCTCTATCACCTTTCAATCTATTAGTTCCAATGCTTTACGACCTTCCAAATATATAGCGATTCAAGAATAAAGATGGAATAGCGACATTTTTTTGTATCTAGACTAGAAGTAGTAAAGCATAAGAAAAGAAAAAACAAACAATAGTGTATCTTCAATTTATGAGAGTTCACGCAAGTTATCAATAGATCGCCCTGCTCTGGTGGTATATTCCGATTACTAGCCAATATAGCCATTGACTAAGTTTTCGCTTGTTTACGATTAGCCACTAGTCCAAATTTGGTAGTCAGCGCCGCCAAGCAAATTGTTCAGAGTTTTGTCATGCTTCAATATGCTTCATCATTCTTTTCTCTGAAAGGCATTGAGCTGTACAACGTAATCTTCATGAAAATCTCATTTGTCATTCTATGGAGAAATGAGCAAGCATTTGTAATTCTAGAAGTTATTCATAGTCTTAAGTTTCTGCTTAAAATTGCCTTAACCAAAAATTATATAAAAGCATTCGGTGTGCACTGTAAACCATGATCATCTCATTCTTAAGAAGACATCTCTCATCTCATAAGTATTCAATTATAGTAGTACAACCACCAAGCCAATAATCTAAATGGCATCCACTTTCAAGAGCGACGTGGAGATCACTCACATTGGTACTGCAACCGCAATCTTGAGTATCAACGGCATCAACATGCTCACTGATCCCTTTTTTTCTCCTGCTGGAACTCAGTGGCCAACAAGCATGGAGCCTATGCTCGAAATTACCGAAAGTTCGGCTATGGCGTTGCACGACTTACCTGTCATTGATGCGGTCCTGCTCAGCCATGAGAACCACTTCGACAACTTGGATGACCTTGGCCGCCAATTACTCGATGGTCGTCGAGTTTTAACCACTCCGGACGGCGCAAAGAACCTGGCTCCACGCCCTGCTGTTCACGGGCTCTAACCCTGGGAGTCAATCGACACGATTATCGCCGGGAAGCCGTTTAAAATTACTGCGACTCCCTGCGTACACTTTCCAGGTCATGAGTGTACTGGGCTGATTGTCACTACGCCTGAGTTTGGCGAAACGAATTGCCTACCAAACGCAATCTATTTCTCGGGAGACACTGTGTATGTCGAGGAACTTGCTATGATGCGTCATAAGTTTCACATCACCATTGCCCTATTCAATATTGGGGCGGCCTGGGTAGCTCCAGAGCCTGGCGTCGACAAAATGCAAATAACCATGTGTGGAGAGCAAGCCGCCCGTCTATTCCGCCATATTGAGGTCGACATCCTCGTGCCGATGCACTTTGAGTCATGGAAACATTTTACTCAAGGCAAAGATGGTTTACGTTCAGCGTTTGAGGCGGCAGGAATTATTGATCATGTTCGTTGGCTTGAACCTGGTGTAGCACAAAAGATTATTTAAGGTCGTGTGCGAGAAGTTTAGACCCGGTCTCCGATTCTATCACGAATTCTCTGGTGGCTAGTTATAGGCACATAGATAATTGAGTAGCTGACATATTCACACATTCGAGACAAAATGCCAATTCAAACCTTGCTTGCCATATGAATCCATGAAATAAGCTTCCGTGTTATATTGTGCCAACAGATGCGCTTAAAAACCCTTTGCCGCAAACCCGATCGAAGTACTTCCAACAACGCTTGATCTGTTCTTTGTTGCCGTCCATATCTCTGATCAACACATTGTACGCAGTCTTTAAAGGAAAAATCGCAGCAGCCGGCCCGTAGAGCATCATCTCGTCTTGTAACAAATATTCCATACATTGGTAGATTCTAGTAGCCAACGCAAGTAGCCTTGGATCGTGTTCTTCGCGCGCCTTTCCTACTCTCGCAATACCGTATCCATTGCAGTCACGAACAAATGAACTCAATTCTGCTATTTCGGTGCGACAGATGATCTGAAAATCCCACATATGGGTATATACGTTTGCTGCAAGCAGGCTCGAAAACCAGAAATCTAATACTTCGTCTTTCCATCGATCTGTGATATCTGTGTGTTGCAGAAATTCATGGTTAGATTTCTCTTCTTTTCCAAATCGGCCGTCCCATTTCGATAAGCGATCATGAACCCCAGACAGGGCTATTTTTGCCATGTAAGCTCTCTGCACCGCTGCATCTGGAGGCAGGGCTTGCAGAGTATCTATCTCCTCCAGTATAGATGGAAGGACAGCGACATCCCCAATGAGCTTTTGCATGTCGGAAGGTAAGTGATGGCGGAACGGCGTTGTCAGCCACTCTTCTTGACCAAGGAAAGACGATTTCCGCGCATTCAAAGCTTGGAATAACTACCAACTCGGTCAGCACTGAAGATCGGCGATCATTTAGTCATTAAACTCACAAGAACAGATCGACAACCCAAGAAAATGAGATGAAAGTCGCCGGAACTAAACACCTCGGGGGAATACATATTGATCAGTGCACCGAGTCCTCCAAAATGTGCGAAAGTATTGCCCTCTGACTTTGGGAGCATTAACTGAGGTAAATTAGTCATGAGCAAGCTTCGATTCTTGTGAGCAACTGTATTCTTTCACAAAATTGAGTGCGACAAAAAGGGGTGTAGATTTGAGATTCCCCTGTCAGGCTTTTGACATTCCATTGAAAGGGAACTTTCACTTAATCCTCAAATTTACTTTCAGGAATTGTAATACACGATATTCAATCGAGGTATCCCTGTTTTACAACACTCAATTTTGTGAATAAAAACGGTACGTAAACATACCTCTACCATAGCCAAACATAAAATGGCAGCCGCAGTTTCTATTTTGAAGAAGCTCTCAGACGACTGTAGGGCAATGTTTAGCTTTTGCAATGTAGCAACGTACTCTTCGATAGCGTGGAATATCTTGTGTTTTCCTTCCGGACCTCTGTCAAGTATGATAGTTCCAAAGGCCCTAGTCGCTGCTGTAATCAGCTCTCCGGAGTGGGCACGAGCTACGATGCTAGGCAACATCTCTACCCAAGATCCACAAACCTGGCTTGTGCTTGTATCAAACGATGGCAGGCTCTTCTGGAGTTTAGGCAGGAAGCAACTAAGAACGACGGCTGTCAATTCGTCAGAAGATGCCGCGTTGATCGGTCGAGGAATATGATATGGCTCTACTTGTCGAGAGTTGGTTCCTGCATTGCTATGGCCAACCATGCGAGCTGCAGAATCGATACTTGGAGGATTCATAAGCGACCGAGATTTTTTGGAGTACGGTTTCGTGGAGTACGGTACGAAAATTAAGTCAAGTTTGTAGCCTCCACATGATCGTCCAGTAAGATGGCACTGAGTTCAAGATGGCAGTTTACCATCACACTACATGCAAAGGTCAGAAAATGCAACAACGACGCGTTCGACATCCTGAATTACATACCCCTAACTTGTGGGCCCTACATGTGTGGCAAACTATTTCTTGCTTGGCCTTACATAGCACTCTCCGTTCGAGACTCATGTATCGTACCCCGAATTATGGCTTGCAGTTGTTCAAACTCAATAAATCACAGCGGTATAATTTAAGACGATGTCAGGCGACGATGTGATAATGGAATAAAACGAAACGAGGATGAAATGGGCAAGTAATTCCGCCAAGATATATGCAATAAGGAAGACTAACACGGTCGGTGGATAGAAGCAAGGCAAGGCAAGATTCTTTTGACATTGGATAACTATTTATATTTAGGACTAGTGCCCCACAGTATGGTTACTGTATTATTAAATACATTTCAAATGGACTATGGAGTTCATGGAAGGTAACAATGAAACCTATAGCAAAAACAGATTATCTGATTCTTAGTCTTAGTCTTAGTCTTAGTCTTAGATAGGGTGTGCCCGGTACGACTCAAACGCGGGGCAAAATCACACTACGATCTCTTGGCGGAAATATAATCCCAAAGCGGTTAAAAGTAACATCAATAAGGCCTGCCATGGTTTGTTTTGATCCATACGCTTAATCATCCGTCTCCACCATACCTAAATGATTTCTGATGATATATAATCTAAATACATGTTGACAAAACTTGACAAGTGTGTATACTCGTATTGCAAAGCTTCTTCTACCCATATATTACAAAGAAGCAAGTCCCCACATGGTTTTGACAGCAGCTTATTGTACCACGATCCTCAACCTGCCAATAAACCTTACCAATAACGGTCCTCCATTATGACTACCTCCTTCCGCCAACTTCTCGGTGTCCCACCATCGACTGCATCTCCCTTTGACTCTGGTCTACTCATCATCGATGCTCAAAACGAGTACGTCGCGGGAGCGCTTACTGTGACCAATGCCGAAACGAGTGGTAAGGTCATTGCTTCCCTGCTTGAGAAATATCGTAAGGCCAACAACAAAATCATACACATCTTACATAAAACACCTGAAGGTGCGCCCATATTCACGCCCGGCACAACGTTGGCTGAGGAGTTCTCTGATCTCACGGCAAGAGATGGGGAGGAGGTGATTTGGAAATTGCATCCGGATTCCTTCGCCGACACAAACCTCGACGATATCTTGAAGGGTTGGGGGATCAAGAAACTTGTGATCACTGGATACATGGCTCATGTCTGCGTCAGTACGACAGTCAGGCAGGCGAGCCAAAGGGGATATGATGTGCTGGTGGTGGAAGACGGAGTTGGAGACCGAGATATTCCGGGTGTGGGAGGAGAAGAAGTGACTAGGGTTGTGTTGGCGGAATTGGCGGATGTCTTTGCTACAGTAGTTAAGAGTGAGGACATCAAGTAGACGGAAGTACGTTGTTATCTTAGATTAATCTGACTATCTAACCGGTGCTTGATGAATTGATGGGATACCGAAATTTATGCTGCCAAGGCTTGAGTGACCTTCCATATCGTCTTGTAATTAAGCTAAATGGTAAACAGTGCCATATCAAGTCTGTTTTCGGCCACTCCTTCTGATCACGTAGGCGATATAGTCTTGCTTCGCTTTTACCGCCTTGTCTGTTATATAACCTCTCTTTCGCCAATTCATGTTGATGGTCGAGCAAGTGCAGTGTTTGTCATAATCTCCGTATATATCTAAGTCGTAATAGCACACTTGATTTTGATGTTTCGGTTATGGTCGATTCCATCTCACTCTGCGACATCATCCGCGTTCCAAGGACTGGTTTCTATAATTTGTGGCCGCGCGGTCCCTCGCTCCACCAGCGGAAGCACCAATCCTACATTCTATTTCTGAAGACTTACGGGCTGCACGTCCTGGGTTTCCTGTTTGTTGGTACACGGGACACAAATTCGAGATCGCTGAGGACCGCAGAGACTTCGCGCGGTTTATCTTCACCCTCACACTCGTTCACGATGAAGCAGCAGCATCGTCGCGCATACTCATTCCCATTTTTTCTCGTGAATATTGCAACAGCATCTTATCAGTTGAGTAAAAGTGCCCGCCAACTCGTCGGCTTGCGCCATCTATCTACACAAGATGACCCGTGATATCCATAGAAGCAGATTGGCAATTGTGATGTGAGGTCATGCAGTTTCGGTATCGAATATGGTCAATGGAAATGTCTTAGAAAGCGAAGCTATACTTACTACTTTTGTACAGTTGCTCAATACTCGTCCCTATGTCGTTTGCCAGCTGATAGGTCTAAAGAGCTTATTCTTTTCACAAGAGTGGTAAAACAAGAATGAAGCAGGGCATTGAAGGCAGAGATGCGTTTGTCAGACTCCCATATAAGCATCTGGGCAATGTATCTCAGAAATGAGATGTTGAGGAGTAATTAATTTCTGAGATTGTAATTTTCCCATTCCTGTCTGAAGACCTGCTTGGACGGTGAATTTGGAGGAAATTTGCCACTTCGACACTCGAAACATCCAGCTACTACCCCTTATGCTTTGCGAATTGGGTATCATTTCACGCGGAGTTGCGCTAACCTATACAGCGCTCACTGTTGGCCAGGCAATTTGTGGAGTCGGCGAGGCTGGTATAATTTCGTTGAGGGCTCCATTGCAAAAGGAGCCGTCTTATAGGCTTAGTTGTTTACATGTGCGTGTTATTTTCCTTCTGCTGCCGCGCTCATGTTTTAGCAACTTGCTAACCCGTATCAAATGTACTAAATTCAGAATCGGCTCCGTTTGTTAGTGCTTTAATAAGTCGTGGATCGTGGAGATGGTGCTTCTACTTCAACCTCCCCGTTGGAGCTACGAGTCTCGTAGCACTACTATGCTTCATTCATCGGTAAAGTTGTCCAGAACGAGCGACCACTCCGAAAAGGCATCTACTTCTGGACTTAGTTGGAAATATTTCGGTCATGTCTGCCGTGATCATGTTAACGTCGGCCTTGCAATGGGGAGGGACTTCGATGCGTTGGAGTGGTTTCATAATTATTGACTTACTCGTTGGCTTTGGCTTAGTTGTGATATTGTTCTTGATCTGGCAATGGTACTATGGATCAGAGGCACTACTCCCTTCTGCACATCACAACGCAACGGACTATTTCTGCAATCATTGCATCCTCATATTCTTCTCATCTGGCGCAGTCCTCGTGTATGCCTATTACTTTCCGTATTGGTTTCAAGCGATAAAGAACGTATCTGCGCTTGAGCCTGGTATCGACATAATACATTACGTCGCTAGTAGTTGTGACCACGATATGCAGCGCAGTTGTCGTGAATGATATCTCAATATACCACTTATTGCAGGCCCAATGATCGCGATAATCGGAGCTGGACTTTTGTATACACTGCAAGTACATACCTCGACAGCGAGATGGGTTGGCTTTGGAATATTGGGCGCAGCAAGGGCTGGTATGGCCGTACAGCAGTATTTCCTCGCGATATAGGCCACTCCTCCTGCAGAAGAACTGATTATTGGAAGCGCATTGGTTCTGTTTGGGCAAAAGCTGTTGGGTGCAGTTTAGGTGTTTGTGGGAAGTAGTATTGTTCGAAATTAAAGCTCTTGACCGGATTACATGACCTCAATCAAGCTGTCATAACAGCTGGAGCGACCGATCTTTGAGAACTTGTGGATATGAGTCAGCTTCAGCCATTATCAACACTTTATCTTTATAATAGCAGAATGTATTCACAATGTGTGCCATCGACCATGCTGTCTTTAAAATGCGCACCCCTTGTGGAGTGGTGGAATTCAAAAGGGAAGGCAATGGAGTAAATCTAAAGTCGATGCTTTCAGAATGAATGGTAGTAGCAAACCGGTGATATTGAACGAAAAATAATTCCGTGCATAATCACGTGAGTCTAAATATTACTCAGCACTTCACCTCGGAAGTATCTCGCTATTGAGATAGCTACCGGTAACTTGATATTGAGTAGCCAACGAGATTGTTTGTATGTTACTATTACACTGCAGCTTCGCCGTTATCTGATCTATAGAATAATCTCTTCCAAATTGTCCATCAACATCGTGTGGACCTTTCAAAAGCTCGCACCTAGCCATAACCTCACTCAAACAGGCGGTGAACCTCCAAGTGGCATGAGCTTTTATCATAGCAGCCTTTAGTAGCATCCACCAGTTCCCCGGAGCCTGAGCGTGTGATCATTAGTTTACTGGGGTTAGAGTAGCAGTGTGAAGTATCCCAGCTGGGTACCCCAGGAATTAAATTCTTGCAAAAATTCCCATCGTTTGCTGCCCATATTCCTGTGGTATGGAAGTTCTTCGATATCAGGCTGTATGGAAGCATTTGCATATTTCAGAGAGCTACATGCTGATGTAGCATGATTATAGTTCGACGTGTCTGATACGATAATTTGTGTAGACTAAACCTTACTGGAAGTCAGCAGTATGTAGGCGACGAGATAGATCGTCTCATTTGGTTCTGTGACGCGGACTAAATCTGGCTTGAACCTCATATAGTTTGCCAGTTATTAAATCCCGATCACTAGATTTCTAGTGCTGATTTTCCTTCGCATCCCTAGTTATTAAGGGGCACATCAGGTCTGACTTTGATCTTGTATTTTGAGACGGTGTTTGATTGTAATGAAATTTGCTCGAGCGCCTTTTCATATTGGAAAAGGCTCATGAACCCCATCTCAAACATCCATCCATGTTCAGCGGTCTCAGCCAAGTCATTACATTTCATTGCCAAAACTCGTTATCAGTTCATCTTCCTCATTTCCCCAACGTCAGATCCACAAAAGAGTATTCTTAAAATTCTATAATCACGGATCTTGGTTTATCATGTAGTCTGTGTATATTGGACAAGGATAACATCGGAGGTTCCACATTTCTGGATCCAGAGATCAAGCCATCCATGCATCTAAAGCCGTCGACGGCACGCCAAGGGGTGAAGGACTTGAAGCTCCAGCCGCAAGTCAGCGGCTGAAAGCTATCTGTGTAACCTTAGGTCCACGGGTAGGAAAGATCACGCCATTGAAGCCAATGACTGAGAAAGACAGATGTCAGGCGGGTACATGTATGTCAGTGGGTATTCTGCATTCTTCGCCAGACAAGGCAGGCTACCAAAAGGAGCTGTTACGGACAAGATACGGGGATCGTGAAAGGTGCCTTATGTACTCGTTATCTGGGATCGTGTGATAACTGTTGAAGGGATGTTCCCTGACTCTGAGATATTTTGGCATAATGCCTTATCGCTGATATTACTCTAGATGAATGTTGGGTGAACGGTCTCAAGTATGGGACATTCACTATCTCTCTGCTACTATTCTTTTGGGAATTGCAGTTCAAAAAGTATATATTGTCAAAAACCAAATCTTGTAAATTAAAGGCCGCCCAGGAGTTCCCTCCTGCTCGTTCAACGAAATAAATGCCAAACTTAATGATGCTGCAGCTATGATATCTTGAAATGCTACAAACAATAAAATACCTCCAGTACGCCAACCGCTTATTTCACAGCAATATTTACAACCATTGATTCATTTCTTCGTGATTTCATTTCCAATCTCAACACCTCCCAACACCATAAGCCCTATGAAAATTCCCCCCTTGCGCAGAATATGAATAATCCCATTCTCTTTTCGGTTCTTCTTGACAGTCATACCCAGGTTTTTCCTCCCTCACTCTCGACATCAGCATCGGGTTATTCCATTGAGGCATTTGCCACTCATACATCCCCGGATCTGGTTTGAAGATATCATCGTAGCTCCCAGATACCTCTGGCATTGCCCCCATAAACGTTTGAAAAGGTTGCGAGCCCCATTGATGTGAAGGTCCCATGTTATATTCGGCAGGTTCGGGGAGTTGGCGGTTAAGAGAAGCAGCTTGAGGCAGAGAATTTGGTATGGTGGGCCAGGTGGGTTCTTCATAAAGCCCGTCAAGCTCACTGAGCTCGGGAGCTGGTGATTGGCCTGCAGAGTGGATGCTGGACTCTGAGGTTGGTGGTGATGGCATTGATGTGGTCATTCCGCTCCAGGGTACGGGATGATGTGACTCAAATCTTTGGTGATCCTCAACCTCATGATATGGCCTTCCAGTATCCACCACAATTATAGATGGCGACCTTGATCTGATAGTGGGAGTGTTCATTGGCGGGGATAGTAATTGGTGAGTTCCGAATTGATCGTGAGCATCTGTCTGAGTGCTAACTTTCATCTTTCTGTCCGCTCTGGTCGTTGTTTGCCTGCGCTTGGTCCCTTCCTGAACATATGATGGTCTTCTTGTAGCAACAATGTTTCCGTCCGCGTCTCTCCAAAGTCTTTTCCTGGTTGCCAATACACCTAATCCTTCGCCACCAGCCTCATCGTCCTTCTCCTTGTGACGATTCACATGTCTGTCTACATGATATTGTTAGACTCAAGATCTCTTTCTAGGCAAAGTGAGTGACATACCAAGAAGGTCGCGACGTCGAAAATGAGCACGACAGCGCAAACATGTATGATTTCCATCCTTGTGGTTTAACGCGTGACGGTGTAAATGTTCACTCCTCGAAAATGACTTTCCGCATCCCGCGAAACTACAGCAAAACTTCTTCTTTCCAATACCTGCATTCGTGTTGTCATTGAGACTTTTCGAACTTGTTGTTGAGCTTATGGAAGATGTGCGGGAGGAGGAGGAGGAACTTGTGAGAGAAGACATATCGATGGTGAGCATTGTGATATGATAAGAGTAAAGTTCAAGCTCTGACTGTTGTCCTGATAAGTCAATACTGATATTTGAGTTCAGACTATATAATGAATATCAAAGAACGGGGAAAAGAGGGGTCCAGCACTAAAGTATATATCAAGTCACGGAATAATTTCCACTCCACTGACAATCATCCTATCTAACCACTTGGCTCAAGCTTCATTTATTTACTTCAAGTCAATACCCACCCAAACACCGATTATCGGGCATGGTGCGCATACGTACATGATAATACATGGTTCCTCCAGGGCTCTCCACAACTAGTTTATTACTCGAAATTCCACTGCCACTAACACTACAGCCAGGGCGTCCAACTAGTCAATTGCGGATTGCGAAAAATGACATACAAAACCTGACCTGTCAGTGATTAGGCTACCCAAATCGAGTAGGTTATCCGTTCACAAATCCTTTAGAACTCAATGTGTGTGTGATGGGCATTTAGCCACGATGAGAATAGAACTGTGAATCTCATTTAGCTTCAGTCCTCATATCCAAGATTTCCATCGCGACGATACCGCACAAAAGTCCTCGGGTACTAACCATGTTCATTCCATTCGATTCTGCAACCATTCGTTCTACAATCCGCTAACACTCATCACCTATCACAAATCAGCACCAGTACATCATGCGTTCTCACCCGTTCGCTTTGCATTAATTGCTCTCAAATACCACCAATCAAGATTATTGAACGGTTTTCCTTCAACGTTACAATTGGTTCATCAAACACATGGCATACCAGCATCTCCATAATTCCCATCATTTCTCCCAAATCAAAGGCCGCCAGGTTACAGGTTACCCCTCCATGCAGACCCATGTATGTATATATTTATCGGTCGCCGCTCCATCCATCTTTTTTGTATGATTTTTACCTAGGTCACTATCTATCTGTCAAGTTGATATTTTCCTCTGTTCATACATTTCAAGAAATTAGAGTAAAAATCAAAAAAAGTACAAAATCATTTTCTTATCGCAGATATCCGATCGCTTGTCACCCTGTCCATGTTTATACGCTACCTTGATTCCCACAGGACGTTTCGGTCATTCACACCAATCAAACCTAATCTCTTTGGATCATATATTTATTTGCATGGAGAAAGAAGAGAGTACGGCGACCATCAAATGCCGCCGTTAGCGATGTGGCCGTGCTAACAGCCTAACCTAACGGCATCGCTTATAGTAAGCTCTGGGGCCACCGAGTCAAGGGTTGACCGGAATTGGACATCTAACCGACTACATGACTTGACTTGACTTGACTTGAGAGGTTAATCTTTGCCCTAGAATAACCAAAAAGTTGCACTCCAAGGTTAGTGAGGGCCGTGAGGCTGGACAGCTACATAAATATGGAAATTTAATACTGGGGTCCATAAGTTATGATAAAAATATCCCCGTCTGTACGTACAATCCCATGAAGTGGTAGATCTTCATAATTCTAATCTCCATAGATTTGGGTTTTGGTAATTTATGGTAGTATTCCGCCATCTGATGGGGACCTCGGTGCACAATAGCCCTGATAGGGATTCATATCCGATGATGTCCACTTTCCTCCTCAAGGTAAGAAAGTCCACCCCCCCAGAGACTACTATTATGGTACAGTAGTGTAATTTTGGACCGATCACATGAACGGATGTCCCGTCCTTTTCCTTCCATTGATATGATTTCCTTCATATCATCGTAGGATTAGGTTGGAAGTTACTCACCGTCGTTTCGAGCACTCCAAGTGAAAAGATGTGACAATTTGTAAACGCTGTTCCCTTATTTGATCGATCCTTTTTGGAGTTGAAAGGTCGTAATCCTCATCCTGAATCCTCCATTTCCGTTTCATACAAATGTCCACTCCGACTCTCCGCGCTTGTAGTAATCGCATTCCACGTCCTGTCCTGTGCTTTAACAGTGCTTCGTACTTTTCTTTACTCACACACCCTGTTCCCTGTAAGCGCGAGCAACTAATAATTTCCCAAACTCAAGAACGGATGGGCTTCTTTAACCCACGAGCCATGAGTACGCCACGTGCGGAGGATGAGATCCATTTTCATGGAACTATCACAGCCATAAATGGATGGATCAATACCTAAGCCCTAAAGAACCTTAACCAGGAGATGCTAATTCAACTTATCTTAGTAGTATCTTAGCAGCATCTTGGCTTCTCCTCTTAATTGAGAGCCGATGATATCCCGGTTGAGATACGTCCGTAACTCCATTGAATTGCTGAATCTCCAGCCTTGCTCGTGAGATTTCTTTGATATCATATCACCTCCTTTTAGGTCCAATATGCGATGGTAGCCGATCAAACTTCAAATTTCCTCTTCTTCGCTCTTTTTTTGGCGACCAAGACTCACTCGTTGAAATAAAAGGACATGTCAATTTTTCCATACCATATCATACCATATCATACCATATGGGCACAGCCTACATCCAAAAACTTAAGCGCTTCCATGTCGTAGGATTTTCTTTTGAACTCGACACTACTATTACACCAATGCCGTTTGCCTCATCGATGTGCCGTGATATATCCCTAGACAACATGTTGTCTGACTGCGAATTGATCCTGTGTAAGATACCCGAGAAGGAATCGCGTGGCGATTGTTATCAGCGATGCGAGATGGATCGATAGAGTTTTAAGTGATTCGAGCGCCATACTGCTGACGAGAGCGATCGGAGAAGGAAATGGAAGAAAAGTAATACCAGTATTTTGATATAAACAAAAATCCTTCAACACTCCAGGTTTTCCCGAGGACAAACCCCAAGTTTATATATCACTCATCCCCTCATTTGCTGCCCAGATACCCCATTTTCTTACAAACTATAATCATACCACAAACCTACACTTTCTAGTGGAAGGGACACATTTCGACCAATCATCATCCCGCTCCCACGTCTCGAGAAGCAAGAATGGGATACAAACTCTGAATGTCTCTGGAAGCTTTGAGTTTGCATGAAGCTTCCGTCGTACACAGACACTCTTGTGGCCTCTGTCTTGTTGCTCCCGTTACATTGTCTCCGAAGATGGGATTTTCTAAGGTCTGCAAGAACTCTTCTGACTGGTGAAAGAATTCGAGAATGCCAAAGAAAACGTGACTACTTACATCTATTTCAAAAACGTGACTGTGGCACGCACGCCGAGTTAGTAACTTCTGCAGCCGACCGACGGGACAGCCCTATGTGCCACATCTTCGGACCTACAAATGTAACATAACTTTATCTTCCCGACGTGCAACAAAGCGAACAGATCAGTAAATGAATCTTATGATTCCCATCCAATCTTTCAAATCCCATTATTTTTATCCCATCACACACATGGCAAACAAGCATCCTGTTCTGCGTTCTGCATGCTACCACTAATCTTCAAGCCCATCCCAAAGCACCGGGTCCGAAGAATTTCGGGTCCGGCACGACCGTCTTCCTTCTCCGGACTGCAACCAAATGATCGGGAGTACATTTCTCACGTAAATCAAGACAAGTACCGATACCCTTGTGCATGTCTTTACCAAGTGAATTGCATTACTTACTTATATACGCTAACTGTGCACTGCATGGCATAAGCTTCCGCTGTTCCTTGCTATTGTTCGTCCCGTTCCGTTTCCAAGGCATTGGGACGATTGAAACAAACGAAAGACAATTGAATACAATACACGCCCATCACAACGCCCATCACAAAATCAAATCCTTTCTCCGAATACTTTTGATGGAAAACTTTGGTCCTTCACATTTACCCAAGAGTTTAACTCGACGGTTATGATGTAACAATGCAAAGACCCAAATCGATGCCCGGTTAAGATTTTATTCCAAAGCTGTGGAGTTGTGTACCATTGCTCTGTAGATGAGACTTTCCTTAACACTATTTTGTACAAAGACTGATAGCCTTCTCGTATCCGTTTTCTGATCCTCCATTTCACTTCATTTCCTTCTATTTCCTCTCGTACTCAGCTAACTTAACACTCATCGTCGTAAGGTTCTCGATCTTCCCCTCCAGACTCTGCCAGCGACAAAGCAATGGCACGACGCATATTTTCATCTAATTCGTCATCTTCATCCGATGTCACTTCCTGGAATTTATCACAAGGAATTCCCAAAGCTGAAGCCTGCGCTCCCAGTGCTTGCATCTTCACGTCCATGGAACACTTCCCTTCAGTCGCAAAATCACTCCAACTATCATCATCGCAAACCTCAGCATTGTACCACTCTTCTATCACCTCAAATTCTTCTATTTGTGCCTCCAGCATTGATTGTTTACTCATCTTGAGCTCTAGTTCCTTCTCATCCTCGCAGCTCATGATCTCCATCTCAAGCTCATCCACCTCCGCCTGTAAATCTTTGAGCTCCTGAGTAGCATTGAAATCATCGTGATCATACCAACCCGAAAGATCCGTCCCATCGTCCCCTTCATCTCTGTTTACCATCGTATTGATCTTTATTATATCAACGATGATTCGGGCCGCCCTCTGTTTCCTGAAATAATCTGCTGGAGCTTCCACACAAATTGCTTCATTTCGAATATCCTTCAGTATACCCTTCAAAGATAACAACACCGTTAGCATTGTTCCATTTCTAAACTCATTCCTGATTTGGCAGGCCTTTTTCTGTAAGCGACGCAAACTGAGAACCGAATCCTTAAAGCGTGACCTTCTCGCCGTAAATTCCTTCTTCTCTGGCCCACCTCTACTCATAGCTACACCTCCAATACTCAATGGTGTCCCCCGAGTCAGACATGGCCTTATAGCCGAGCTCGTGGATCTTGATTGAATAATCTCTGAATCATTTTGAGAATCATCGATATCCATTTCATCAGAGTGTGGTCCTGAGGCGGGGTAAATTTCTCCATCAAACTCAAAACGCACTCTCTTTGTCCATGGAATACCAATTGTATCTTTCTTCAAAATCCCTGGATAGTTTGTAGCTTCTTCTCTTGACACCAATTCTTTCACATTCTCTTTAGTTAGCGGCTCACACGCCTTGGATTCATCCGTTATTCCCTTGTGATATAAACGGACAATCTTCCTCGGCCCCTCCACTTCCTCAAAATCATCCTCGGACGAGTCATCGTCACGAATGATTTCTCTTCGACGACGCTTTCGGGCTCTGCTCTGTTCTGGAGAGTCATTCTGAACTCTGATCGTAGATAACAAGCGCTTAGAGGGGTCTGGCTTATTGTTATCGGTGATGCCTTGTGCTCGATCGAGAAGAAGTTTCTTTATCTGCGGCTTTGTATCAGGATTATTATTGACAGAGCTATTTGGGTTGTTGGAGATGTCGATATGCTTCCGACAAACTCGACGTTCCCCGAGTTGACGCATGTCACTTACGAAATCTTTGTGAGCCGACGGATTATTTACTCCATCTAGGTGTTTGGGTTTGCAGAGTTTCGAATCCATGTGTGTTGCAATTTCTGGTGAAGATTCAGGACAAGAGCTCGGATAAGCACCTGGTATCTTTAAAAGATCAAATCTCTCAGTGGAAGTCATGTGTCCGTCATCTTCTGGTAGTAAGTCTGAAGAAGAACTCGCCAACGAGGATGACATGAGAGTATCGAGATCGTCATTGTTGTCATCGTATTTAGCCTCGTTACTATTGTTGACCGAGTCCGAACCAAAAGTGGAGCAAGTACGAAAGTCTACTTTGATATTAGAATGGGAGGAATTTAAAGACCGGAATACGGAGTTGGGATTAGATTTCTGCTTGGTGCATGTTGATAGTCTGGCACTGTACATCCGATCGATTTTACGGGTAGAGCCAGATTTTAGAAGTTTATAGCAGTGAGGTCCTGGTATTTCAACTAGGGGCTTCCGAGGGGCCCTCGTTCTAGACTTTCTAACTCTGCAGAATTTATTCCTAACCTTGGCTAAAAATTGCCACGGGTCTGAATTCTTGTGGGGCGTTGGAGCTCTATGGGAAACTGTTTTCCTCGACCTTGCTGGTGCTCTGGGTGACCGATTTCTGTAGTTAATAATGGTACGCATCTCATCCTGAGTAGCCTCCCTTTCCGGTGAAACCCATCCGTCATAAGATAAAAGAGCGTCAGAATAACTTCGACTCCTTCAGGTTTGGATATTAGTCATCGATCTCGGTAGGGACTTGGCAATTCACCTTGAATTTACATCAGCTGGACAAGGAGGTTGATCGTCTAGGAGTTTTCCTCGACTGTCGTATCTTGGTATTGGAAGTTTGTGGTGCAATGGTATATCGTCGCTCAATATGTATTTCCGTATGAGTCTTGGTATAGATGGCAGGGCACGACCTATAATCCATGAATCAGAATGCAGATAAGGGGTGCACCAAGAAGATGAAACGTACGATTAAAAGATCCCCCTGGAGGAAAATTATCATAGGCTTCCCGTATGTGCTGCTCTCTGGCTTTGTCTTCCTACACGATTATTATATATTAGTTTTTGGAGGCCAGGATCCTGTGTGAAAGTGGAAGATATTTGACACCACTAGTCATCGAACTTGAGTCAATTTACCTGCTTCAGAAAGGACTTGACCCTTTTATATGCGAGAGGACGATCACCTCGTTGATATATGATTCTAAGTGAGGGTATTCGTTTATCGACCGGCAAAGTTCTATCGATGGATTTCGGCTGGGCTGGAGAGTGAGAATCATATTCCACATGACAGGAGTCGCCTTGGGACAAATAAGAGCGAGATCGTTCCATTGAATGAACATTTGATTCTTCTTGTTGTCTAGCCTGAGACTCGTCCTCTACATGGGATAATGGCAATGGCAGTGGATGCAATTCTGTGAAATGATCACCGACAAGTTCGTCCAAAGGACTCTTCCCATCGGTGATTGTTGGAACAATTTGGGGAATTTGTGTGTGGTTTGCGAGATCCTCAGTATTCTTCGAGTCTCTGCGAACGTCAATGGTGTTCGATGATGCTCCATCATTTTCGGAGTGTTCGTCGAAAGGTCCTTGAAGCCGTTGATGATCATCAAGAGGTCTATTACCTGATTTTGTTAGACCGACCTCTTCTGAATCTGGATACTCTGACTGATGCGATGTTATGGCCACTGATTGGGGTTTCGGCGAAGGTTCTTCGTATGCAAACTCCACATGACTGAGGCGACTTGGCACTTGACGTTTATTGCGCTTTCTTGGCATGCCAGGCAAATAGATGTAACACTAACAGAAATGATATATTCTTTGTATTGATTGGTACTGAAGGATGTATGAAAACAAAGTTAATAAGATCAAATGGGTTGATAGTATGGTATGAGTACATACGAATGAAGATGAAGTGATTTGTTGCAACTTTCTACTTTCCCTCCGAAAGCATAAGAAAATTTAGAGTAGGAACTATCAATTATCTGCTCCTACCTTAAGTTCCTTCTCACCAATTGTTTTACGTCAGGAATTGAGACTGCCTGAAGGTGCCTCCCTAATTTGATCGATTGATGGACTTTAAAACCACTGTAATGATGACAAGTTCAAACACTTTTCGGCTGTCTCCTATATTCCATATCCCGATACAATTGCACCCTTACAGATGCGTCTAGGGATAATCCTATGTACCCCAGACCGCCATATTTATCAGCTGTGGTGTAGTATTTGATGATAGAAAGTGATTTTAATGCCAATGCAAGTTCCTTTTCTGTACATGCAAATATATTGCATTCAAGTCTTTCTCCTGGAAATTAGCAACCTCTCGTCATACACCAAAGCGTTGTACTTTTCTACAGAAATCGCTGCTTGTATCACCGTCAAACTAGAGATGAAGCCAGCCATGTAAGGAACAGGTAATTTAGCATCATCCATCAAGCGCGTTGACCGAGTTCATTGGTGGTATAGAAAGAATGCTCTACCTGATCGACATAGGTATTCCCAGGCTTTATGGTGTTCAAGTGTGAATGCTCCACCCTCATCTTCGATATATTAATATAGGACTCACTGGTTGCACACAAGAGAGTACGTGGGAAGTCACTGTGGCAGTCTGCTCAGTGGTCGCTTGAAACCCGCTATACATCTTGGACTGTGCAGGTAGTGATTGTATGATCGTGATGGAATGATAACTAGTCTCAGAGAGCAGAGAGATTCGCCATGTAACTATGGTAACGTAATAATATGATTCGCCAATGCCTTTTGTGATTTTCGAGCCCATCGCATGTTCTGCACCCAACATGTTGACATATCTTACAAATATCCGGTTCATTTGTAACTTTTTTTAGGATATACATGAGTTCATGTTACTTCCGTTTATCACATGTACTGCATTCACTACGACACGTTATCACATTCGAAATTGTCGAAGTCAATCTCCACCTTGAGTATATGAATTCTACAGTCTTGATCAAGAAGTTTTCTTTTTTCCTATCAATGGTGCTTGTGGGTACAGATGATTGTAGGGCCATTTTTGAATAAAGCTTACTGATTCTACTGAAAGAAACTCTGTCAAAGATGTATTGAAGATGGTGATACTGCTTTTTGTTCATGTGGGCACAAAGCTTGGCGAGGGGTGGATACAGTAGTGCGGCGATTGAAGTGATCTTATGGTTCAAGAGAAAGGATTCTCAAAATTGCCTTTCACATTGGGAGATCATGAATACATAATGTCGACCCTGTTCGTCGAAATTCTCATTTCGAGTTTACGGAACTCTCCATGAGGATCAGCCAGCTTTATCACCGAAGGCTGGAACTATAGGTTCTGATAATATTTAATAGTAGTTATCGATTGAAGGATGAAGTCTTAACCATCTTGGCAGAGTATTGAAATCACCTGAAAGGTGGTAGGCATCATTTCAGGATGATTGGCACTATGGCTGTAAAACTAAGGCAATCTCCAGCAGGGTATTAAGCATTGATATGAACGGTATCTTGAAAGAATATTTTTACCAAATCATGAAGCTCTTCAACATAACTATTATATCCCTCTTAGCGGGTATGCAAATTATCACCGCTGCTACAAGTACTTATACAGCTCAATCATGTGTGACCAGAGATACGTCCAAGAGTACTTCTAAAGTCTCTACTACAATCCACAGAAATACAATCAAATCAGTTGCGACTTCTACAATCAAACTCACCGCACAAACAATCACAATCACTCCCCCAGGCCAAAAGTTCATCTCCACCTCTCTTGCTACAGCTACAACTCCAGTACCCGGTCTCCAAGTTACGGATACGATCACAGAGACCAGTACCTCGGGACGGTTTATAATGCAGACAACTTTGTTTTAAACGACAGGAGTACATAGTACTGCAACTATAACAACTCAATCAACCACCACCAGTCCCACTTCCCCTGGTTTCAATCCCCTAGCGAGCAACTCTGCCGTGATTTATGTCGCTATTGCTGCCGGAGGAGCCTCCAAGAAAGTCTGAAGTGTCCCTCAAGATGCTCTACCCAGAGCTCCCGATCCCGAGGCCAAGCCTAACAGGTTTAGTCTCCGATCACATCTTTTAGGCCAAGTTAGACATCCTTGAGGTATTGTCAACAAGATATAAAGATAGTCACAACCAAAACAGTCACTGCTCAAGCACAAAAAACAACGTTAACTCTGTCTCCAATAACCTCGACGGTAGTCAAAGTTTTGACGACAACACAGATCATAACAGATAGTCCTCCTCCTATCTCAACGACTACAACCGTCCTCTTAGAGGAAGATCTCACCTCGATAGTCACCGTAAACAGTGTTGTAATTCAAGAGTCCGCCGCTACAATAACCTCTTTCCTACCACAAGTCACACAGTACGATATGTGTAAGACGGACAACATGGTTTATAGAGTTGGCGAGCTAACACCTCTCCAATTCTTCCGTCGCGATAGCGTATGGAGAGGGTTCTCCATGTATGAAGCAAACTTAACCACTTCTTACCATTGCTGTGCAATCTGTGCACAATCCTCATCTTGTACTGGCTACCAGTATTTTTTTTGACGAACGGGCCCCGTACTATGCCTGTAATGTATGGTCTAATCCATCCTCAAGATGCTTGCGATCCTGTTGTTATCTTCAACCCTTTAGGCCTGAATTTCTGCCCTGGTTAGTAGGGAATGGCAATTGCGGACAGGGAACACTAGTTGATCCGGTCTACTAAGTACCCACCCACATGGTCAAACCGACAATCTTTAGGTACAGCAAAATCTCTCTATAAGGATACTGGATATCATCATCATAAAGTCAAGAAAACTGATAAAATTATACAAAAATATGGCAATTAAACCGACAAAGCCAAAACCCAAGCTAGGAAACTCATCCACCTCCCCAAACTACAATCCCGAATCAATCTGATCGATAACGGTCGTATTTGTAAACGCCGCCCAATCCCTACAAGTCTGGGCCATAATACTCGGAATTCTCAACTTTACAATATCATCCGGACGCTCCACCACACTCACATACAATCCACCGCTAACGTGGAACGCGATATGACAATGCAAAGGCCAAACACCGGGATTATCAGCCGTTGCTTGCAAAACCATATAGCCACCCGCTTGAAGAATTTGTACATCACGACGTTGTAGATTAGATGGGCGAATAACGGTGCTTCCGTCCCAAGTCCCGAGGCCTTCGTTGAGAACAAAAAAATTGTGACCATGAAGATGCATTAAATGGGATGCGGGGCCGGGGTTGGTAAGGTAGATGCGGAAGGAGCTGTTGGAGCTTGAAATTGTAGACGTTCCATTGGGGACTATCTGGGTATGGATTGTTGCCCTGGTTAGCTAGGAGAAGAATGGGTTGATTATAGTTTGCACGGAAGGAAGACTTGTTCATCGTCCACCACTACTGCCTCTGCTGCATTCGACGATTCTGTTGCTAATGTCTGCCAAAACGATCCTCTCACCCAAACAACTCCTTGGTTCCCAATTGTTCCCGATCCAAACCCGCCCACAACGCAAAATATAGATATCAAATTCGGACAAAATACTTCCAGAAACTGGCAATGGGCTTTATATTAGGGATGAGACCATAGTAGGCAACAGCTTTGGCAGCGGGATTGCTGGCGAGTGCCTTCCTCAGGACCCGTGATCTTATTGTGAACAGTGACTTTAATCGTATCTCCCCAATTTGCTTCAATGAGAGGTCCTGGGAAGACACCATCCACAAGCATTACATCTCGTTGATATCCATCTGGTGATGCCTTGCCTCTCCGAACTGTGAAATCGTATCTTCGGATCACACCAGTCTCTGGTGGGCTGACTGTGGTAGGACAAGTAATTAGTTCGAGTTCTATACGTTTGGATCTGTTCGTGAAAATCAACAAGACATCCTTGGGGAAGGGGCGTGGCAGGATTGCTAGTTTGCAAATATTTCACCGACAAGGTCGAATAATTGTTCTGAGCAGAAACGAGTGACCCAAAAAGAAGGGTGGCGAGAGAAACTAAACTCCGCATGTTTAAAAAAAGTAAGAATCAATATTAGAACTATTAGGAGTGAACATTCAATGGAGATGATGATCACGATGAGAATTATGGAATGTATGTGTGAAGGGAACCTTGGTTTATATAGAAATGTTAAGCACCATACCTATACAAACCAAAAGCAAAGTCTTCAAGATTGTATTTTTATTTCAGCTCACAGTACCAACTTCTGTCATCGGTGGGCTAGCTATCTTCTTGCGTGGTACATGGTTGTTTCGTCTCTCAAAATTTGTGCGGTATTTCTACTCCTATGATGCTTTCCACACAATTTTCTTTCGGTAATCAAAGTTATATTGTCCCCTAATATTAACACAAATTCCGCACAAAATCAAGATCAATGTGATATGAAGTGCACATAAATGAGAGAAATGATTCGAAACAACCACCATCTTCCTATAAATGGCAAGGTACTGACTGGTACTGGAACTACAGTGGCCAATAAATAAGTAAGTCCTCAATCCGAGTCCTTTTCGTCGTCCGTAAATTGAAAGGGACCGCTTGGTTCCTTAAGTTTTATTTCTTGAAATACATCCACTTCATATCCAGTATTATGAATCTGTGCTATTTGATTCGAGATATCGCAATTCATTTCAAATGAAGGAGGGTTGGTGAATATGCGATTAGGAGGTGAAGATTGTTTTTGGTGCAATGATGGATGTATGGATTTATGGATGGTTGATAACACAGCTTTTAGCGCGTCGGATGATGCCGAATACAGCCAAGCCAGTACTCAGCATCCATAAATTGACATTACCAAACAATAAGCTTGCAAACAATTTCTGCCGTACAAATAGGTACTGTATGGTGTATGGTACATGGTGTTTGTGGTGTTTGTAATTATCAATATCAATACTCATTCATCTTCATCTTCATCATCATCTTCATCAATTAAATTGAATAATTTTCCTTTTTTGTTTAATAATCCACCCGCTCTGCCCGCCCAGAAACAGTTACCCCCATCCATCTATCAGACAGTGTGTTTGTCAACCCCATCATGGCATCCTCACCTAACATACCAGGAAATCAAAGTCAAGCTTCAATATCTTCTGCGAATCGCCCAAGCTCTACTACCCATGACCGAGATATTCCTCTTGAAACCTTGGTATCGCATCTCCTTGCTTCCAAGCGTTCCTTGTCATCTATCAGTACAGTATGGCGCGCCAACGAAATCGTCACCTCAGCGAAACACGCATTAGAAGAAAGCGTTATATTGAATGCCAGAACTGGGTTTATACAAAGCGGTATCAATGAGCAGCTTAAGATCCTGAGGAAAGTTAGAAACAGTATCGAGTTTGTGTATATTGATGGACAGAAGGATTTCAAGGTGGGTTTGTCGAGCCATATTAAGGATGCTTCGGGGCTGACCATAATGAGCATAGAATGTCATACGTACTCTCGACGCCGCAAATACTCGACTTGAGACTACAATGGATGTGTTGAGATCAACAATGGTGAATGCGGCCTTCCGACCAGCCGAAGAGGAATCTAGAAGTTTGCTGGACTTTGTTGATGAACAAGGTGTAGAGGGAATGCGAGATGGCTTGAAGGAGTTGATCCGAGAATCCAAGGTAGCAGGATTTTATTGAGTTATTCAATTGTTCCAAATATTAACCTTCGATCATAGGATGCCCAAACAGAATTCGATACATCTATCCTTTCCTTCGATGATGATCTACGTAGCTTGAAATCGACTTCTGGATACACCAAAGGATCTTCTCCATCCGGGTCTCCTATACCAAAGCATTTACATACTTTAGAAGGTCACGCTCAAGAGATGGCTTCCCTCCTATCATCTCTCTCCAATCATTTCGATCTATGTCTCAACGCCATCAGACACACAGAGGGAGGATATGCCGCGGTCCGAAATGCAGCTTCCAACCCACCCCCAGGCGCCGAACCTGTATCTGTCTCCGGCGTAATGACCACTTCCCACGACGATATACATGAAGAACCTCTCACCGAACAAGAGCGCGAAGAAATGCTTTTTGTTCTCGAAAAAGACTCCGCTGAAGTTGAAGACGTGGTTATGGAACTTCGCGATCGTCTCAATGAGATGGAAATCAAACATAATGCCATCCTTGATTACGTTTCACATCTCACTGAGCAATTCAAAAATACTTTGAATATATACAATCTTTTAGAGGGAGTATATGTGCGACTTTCAGGATATATTATTGCGGGTCAAAACTTTCATGTTAGGTGGGAAGATACCAAGGTGCAGATGCACGAACACATGAATGAATTGGAGGGAATGCGACTCTTCTATGAAAGTTATCTATCATCCTATGATGGGCTTATAGTTGAAGTTGACCGTCGCAGGAATGCCGAGGAGAAAGCAAAAATGATAGCAAGGAAGGCGATGGAGCAAATCAGCAAGCTATATGAGGTGGATATGAAGGAGAGAAATGATTTCAAGAATGATGTGGGGGATTATTTGCCGGTGGATTTATATCCGGGTATTAATGCAGCAGCACCAAGATGGGATTTTATGCTGATGGATGAGGAGGAAAGTGTGGGTAGCACTTCTTTGCTGGAGAGAAAAGTCGTGGAGGGCTCTAGTCAGAGAGATCAAGAAAGGCACAAAGGGAAATAGTCAATAAGACCGAAACCCTCGACATAACATCTAATATTCATTATTTCATTATCAACAGTAGGTCAAGCAATCATTTCGCGAAGATTTCGAAATCAATTCAAAATTACATTTATCAAAATCTCTTGGAATCTTCCAGACCAAACAGATGAACGTGATATCAGAACTCTACCGGATAAATATGTCTTTACTATTGTACTCTTCAGCACCGCCGCGACCTCCACTCATATCAAAACAATACAGTTTTAACACAAATTAAATATGAGCAACTAAGTACAAGAATATCCCAACAACTAATATCACAAGGCGGGAATTATGAGAAGCTCTTGAGGATGGCGAGTATTTTCAGATTCGGGGACAACTTTTTTGCTGAAGAACTTGTGACGGCACAAGGCTTCGGAATTGTCTTAGCCTTTGTGACGCGATTCTTAGAAAGTGTATAATACTTGAATTTCCACAACACAGCACAGGGCAACATTTGCGAGAAGCTGATCCGGCGTTGATATCCATCCATATTTTCTTATGGGAAGCCGCAAGACTCCTAACTGCCCAGACTCCACTGAAAGAACCCATTCGGACCTGTGATGGGCAACGGCAACTCGCTCAAATCTCTTCATATTTGGTCGAATAACCTCTGTATAGGCATTTGGAACACTTTGAGATGTATCAAAACCCGAATAGGCCTCCTGACGAGGGTCATCCAATAGTATCCAACGCGATACTCATACTATGTGGGACACAGTATGAAAAGTTTCGTGTAAAAATGCAGGGTAGCCGGGCGACAATGTTTTGGTTTGGTAGAACGGGAGGGAACATGATTCCAGATCGATAGGTAGGCATTAGTGGGTTGACAAAGGCTCAAACGGACGCCAAGAAGCTATTAGATATTTGGGTGGTCATTTGTGCATCACCGTTCTTGTTAGAGTGAGGACATTGAAGTTAATGACGCAATGATATTGTGGTCAGATACCCGGAGCTCTTGATATCTTTGATCTCTCTCTTCCAGTTCAGTTGGAGATGCAGAATAATCATTATATCGAGGTCCCATATCCATCTGTCTATGGTTCAGTTATAATTTGGGTCGGATATCCAGATGGAACATGCTTCCACTGTCTTCCTCTATTCCATCATTACTCTCAGGACAGTTTCTGATAGTCATGAGTGTGATGGAGCAGCTTCATCACTAGAACAAATGGTAACTTTGGTGGGTCAATCTATTAGTTTCTTTGTGGCTTATTTGTTTCAGAACTAATTTCCAATACTTTAAAAGAAAATATTTGCGGAAAAGAGCTTGTACATCAGGTCGCCCTCCTTCCTCGATTGGTCTAGGTTTTTTGGATGCTTAGTCTGGGACCTGCGGGGATCAGGTTTCTTGGAAAAGGCTGTGGAGGAGCTTGAGTCTGTCTAGATATCTGGGGATTTATATATTGATGAAGAGGAAACTGTGTTCATCATACTTGAAAGTGGCTATTATCATGTAGCTATTGTGTGTCTTGATAGAGGTGTTTTTAATGTGATATTTTCATACTTGTTTGCTAGCGTTTTACTTCAAACAATGCAGTGTCTGCACCATTTAAAGACTTGGTGTTACACTTCAGTAGAGGTAATAATGGCCAAAAGGATGCAAATTATAACAAATGAGAAGCTTTACACTTCCTTCAAATCATTTGTTCACTTGATATCCAACGACTGCCTCGCTGTCGCCGATGCTAGCCTTTTCCTGCTCTACTTGCATCAGCGATGAAGAAGGTTGCTCAGCCCACGAGCATGTCATTGTCGTCCATAAATCAGAAAATTTCGTTCCTCCGCTTGCATGCTGGTCCACTCCTCCCGGTGGCATTTCCACTCCTCCAACTGTTCCGCCTGCACTGGTCATCCACGGTAAACCTGCTTCTCCATCTCTTGGTGTTTCCCCACTCGCATCAGTAAAGGCACTATCTGTCCCGACTTCCCTTATGCTAGTGTCCCACTCCCCCATTCCTTCGATCATACTATAGTCGCATTCTTCCAAGTCCCCAAAGTCGAAATCTAAATTCGTACTTTCAAATAATTGCGCCATCTCTGGATCAAACATCGGACATTTACCCTTTGAGATTGCTGAGGCTTTAGGTACAATCGCCTCTACTCGGTGTTCCCATGCCTTTTTAAGCGTGCTTAGTATGCTTCGCATCATGAAGTATCTATCAAAGCGATTTTTCTTTCCTTGATTACTACTCGTATCGGATTTCTCGCTTTCATTAGATTCGATTTCTATTCCAGCCGATAATTGAGAATTTAATGACAGACTCCCAAGCCTGAAACAAAGTGCTTCCAAGTACATACTCAAGCCAACTCTCTCTCGCGTCGTCTCGGATGACCAATTCTCTACGTGCGCAATCACAAAAGTAAGTCTTACAAGTGCAACAAGACAGTGCACCAATTGGGACCAGTGAATTATATTGAAATGCGTGTAGTCTTGAGTGGGAAGTGAGAGAAGGTGCTGAAGGTAAGATACACTAAGTCTGAGACAGGTTTGAAGATGGTCGAGCGAAGGTCTTGTTTCTGTGGTGCCCGGAACGAAGGGGCGGTACGGGCGGCGGAGAAGGCGGAGAGCATGAGCGTAGACTGACAGATGTATATATTTGTGGTAAAGAGCGAGTATTGCTAGCTTCTATTAGTCTTGGTCATCTCGTCATATCCCTAGATACAGTGAAAATCAACTGAGCTCACATGAGGCAGTGATGGAATCTGGCAAATTTCGTTTCCAAGTGTCCAATTCAGCAGTAAACAATTGAACATACAGTTCAGTACTGAAGACATCCATCTGTGGATAGTTTTTTGAGGTCCATGCTTCGTTTATACGATCAGAGATACGCTCAAGTATCACGATAGCTGTTGCTGGTGTGCTAGTATGCGATGGAATGAAGCAATCACCGTTGCTTGGAAGAAGATTCTCGTAGGACATGGTTTGGGGTTTGTTAAAACCTTTAGAAAGACTTCCAAAAGTACGTCAGTATTTCGGAAATAAGAGTAATAATCTAAGTGGGATATGTCACTGACTGAGAGCTCAGAACATAACATCCCATATAGGCCCTCCTGGCATCCATCGTCCAACTGCCGTGGCTATCCAAGAGTCCCTTCAAATCAAACTCCCTGAAAGGATTAGTCTGGAGCTGGGCTTGATTCAGTCCTAAGTCCAAAGCTAGGGAATTGGCAAGGTTTATGTAGGTGAAGCATGGATTAGATTTTGGTTTGGTATGCACAGGATACCAAGCTATATATACAAGGAGACCAAGAAGATAGTCGAGCGATTTTTGCGTCTCAACAATCAGCTTAAGACTAAGTACACGACGGAATTCCTGATCAAGTTGGTGGTGAAGGTATGGGTGTGGGATGGCAGCAGTGGTGAGGATAGCCAGGAGAAGGAACGGGGATTGTTGAGACAGAGTTGGAATTGTGGGATTTGCGGGGAGTGTGACGAAGGGAAAGAATGAAAGCTTGGGAAGGTAGGAATTCAGGAGGTGAGTAGCTTGGGAAAGGGTGAGTTTGCGACTGGATATATATTTTGGTGGTAAATGTAGCAACTCCTTCGATGACATGGGCGAGCGAGATCTGTCATCTTTAAAGACTCGTTTATGATGATCCTCAAGAGCTTCGGCGTCCTTCGCTGGATCATGATACACTGTATTAGGAAGATCAAGTGAAAACTCTCCGTTCTTCGGGGGTTTATCGGCAGAAGGAGAGGCAGAGGCAGTTGAAGATAAGGGGCTATCATCTAATTTGGTGGCATCTTCCAATTGCAAATTTCCTGCACGTCGAGCACGTCGGGGTCTAGCTTTCTCTCGAACGATACATTGATTTTTGGTCTGGTCGCATCTATTCAGACTTAGCAATCGGCAACTAGGAGATTGAAAATGTTCATCACCTCCGACATATTGTGTTGTCATTCGAGAAGAAGCATCGGTTCTTGCTTGCTCTGCAAGCTTCGCATGCACGAGCATTCCTCATTGCGGATATATATATTGGATGTGTTTAATTTCCATTATTTGCAGAACTTGAATGATTGCTCGTAAATGATGATGGACGGTCAGATCCTAGTGGGGAAACAATATGGGCTGATGGAGTATGGATATACGGATATCCGGATATCCGGAACATACGATACCAATCATTGAAATGCAAGGGTTTACCAAAAGTATCAAGACATCAAGAGAAACTTCAAATTTTTGAGCAGTGATGAGTCACATCGGACGGGAGTCCTTTATACACCATACGTTTATAACGATAGTTTGGGATGGAGTAGCTGTGGAGTAGCTGCTTTACCCCCGCGCCACCCCTGAACATTTCAAAGAAAAAACCATGTACTGTCAACGATGTGATAAATATCGATAAACGTTTTTACTCCCACACTAAGTTTGGACCTAACTTCAAAAGACTCCTGTAGATGGAGCGAGGTGGAATATACTTTTACAGGCACCAAGTGATGTACTTTGATGCCTAGAGGATGAATCGATTCGATGACGAATTTCTTAGATCACGCAAATAATTCTTCTATGCTAGAAGTAGTTCAAGCACTATCCCATATTTAATTCGCCCCTCTCAGTCGGAAACACTTCAATATCAGCTACAACAGCTCTATGATCCGAGAGATACACTCCATCATCATAACGATTGCTTAGCACCGCATAAGTTCCGTATTCGACCGTTGTTTCTTTAGCAGAGAAAATGAAATCGATCCGAGTTGGTGTGTTATCCACATATCCAAACGATGTGAATGTCATCTCATTTCCATGCCGTTTTCCCTCGAGGACAAGATCTCGGACGTCTAACATACTCGAACTTGAGGATGTCATTGTCTTATAAGCTTCATCATCCGGAGGACTGTTGAAATCCCCTGCCAGAAGAAGTGCAGCAGGCGTGTAAAGGTTTTTGTAGTGATTGACCTTTTCTAAAATTAATTCTGCACTCTTTTGTCGAGAAATGGGGCCAGCATTATCTAAATGAGTACTCATGATAACGACAGTTTCATTCTCCACCCGATGCCTAAATATACCTAATGTCACTAGTCTGATACAACCAGCATCCCAACCAAAGGAAGGATAGTCTGGAGTCTCGCTGAGCCAAAATGTTTTGTAAAGAACAAGGTCCCACACAGCTGGACGATAAAGGATGGGGGAGTATTCTCCAGCTTCTTTGCCATCATCTCTTCCAACACCAAGGTGAGACCATTCACTCCCAGGACCTTCATTTAGAGCATTCTGGATGTCGATAAGCTGAGAATGAAGAGCTTCCTGGAGACAGATAAAAGTCTCGGGCTTAGTGGAATTAAATACGAGTTCAGAGCACATTCGAGGAGAGCGAATTGACCAAAGTTCCTCTCCTTTGAATGGAGATTCAGTTGCATAACGAATGTTATGAGTGATCACTCGAATGGGAATAAAGGTTGACTTCTTGTTCTCGGACAGTGTAGAAATGAAGAATTTCTCGCCCTCAACGTCAGACGAGTTCGTTTCGCGCGTCATAATATTATGATGAGTGGAGTTAGAAATCGATATATTTCTTTTGGAGAGGATAAGGATTCGCACTCCTTCCCGACTTGTACTGGAATGATGGATATGGATAGATTGATTGATAGACAGAAGGCTATGTCATAATGAAGCTGACGATAAAGGGCATAACCATCATCTAGTATCGAATGACTCGATGAACTCTTGCACTTTGGTATTGTGAAGAGGTCAACCAGATTTCCATTTCTAGTGAAACTCATCAAAGTCTGTGAGTAACGATGAAGTACGTTCGTAATCATTTTATTTATGGGAGACGCGACATGCGATAATGCATATATTTCAGCGAATAGGAGGGCGAGAATATAAGTTTACTGTCACTGTGAGACTTGATCACATGATAGAATTCATTTAAAGTTTACCTAACTCGCAACCTCGACCTCAACTTCATCACAAACAATACAAATGTCCTACTGAGCTATTGAGTACATCATCACCGCGCAGTTTCAATCGATATCTTAATGTCAAAGTGACCAAATCTGATCATTTACACCTGCATTGGAACGAGAATGCGAATTGCCCGGTACTTGGTTCAACCATTCAGACTTCTTAATTGAACCATGAATGTGCCTGTGGCTTCAATAGATATTTGGAGTCACCGGACATGAGTAACATGCTTACGATTCTGATTGACCAAACAATCACGAGCATCATCCAACGAGACGTCCTTTTTGCGCGATCTAAACCATATTGGAGTCACACATAAGATATTCTGTCTCTGTTTTCGCATTCTTAGATTACTCTTTTATGGTTCTTCCAAGGTTTTCCTGCGCTCTTATCTCTCAGCCAGCACTGCCTACGGCGTATATGATTTTGGAAAGTTGTGTGGGTGTCTCACTAAACGATGATTCACATTATCCCACATGCCCTTATCTAACAAGGCGCAATACGAAAAAGAATGACTACTTCACTCTCAAGAAGCTGCATGACTGACTATATAGTGAACATGCCCTTTCGGACGACTTCCTTGATTTCTGTACTTATTTCTGCCTTTATCTATTGCAGGAATTTCCACACTCGAGTCCTTTTCGAGATCAGATCAACAACAACCCCTCATTCGCTACAAGTACCTAGACCGGCCTCGAGCCGGATCTATTGAGAGTGCTGAACTCATAGTTAAATCACGAACGATGCCGTTCAATGAGCTCCATCGTCGGGACTCCTGGCCTCCAACTATCATTCATCTTCGCGAAAACAACGCAGACATTGAAGCCATCGATGATAACCCTTTCTCCTACTTCCTCACCTCGCCCGATGAAATCACAGATGAGGACATTGATGACTTTTCTGCGGGCATCGAATCTGATGATGATGAAAAATCAGAAGTGCGAGAGGTTTCTCCTTCTGCGTTACAGCGGATGCCTTTGACTGATGATGAGGATGTTTCTTTTGGATTTGCCATGCCTCTGAGCTTGAAGGACTTTACACAAGTGCATGGAAATGGAAGGGAATCGCGGGCTGCACACAGAATGGGTGAACAACTCAAAGGACTCGGAATTTCCATTCCAGCCAGCCGCGGTCGAGCGAAGGTACGACTTGCACCCCCACGAGGCCGCGGTCGAGGCCAAGCACGAAGCGTGCCTTTACGGAGACCACACTCATGGCGCGAGCCTAGTCCTGATCTTGGATCTATAACGGAGGAGCGAGAGAGTGAGGATGGGGAAGAAGGGAAGGTGAATGATGGGGTGAAGGAAATAGCTAGCGTGCCGGCGACTTCGACGGTACCTAGTAAGGCTGTGGCGAGTTCAAAGTCGAAGAAGAAAGTTCACTGGGTAATATGAAGCGTGATGCGTCGTGGATGAATTGCATAATATACTTGCATTGCTTGGAGTTTGGATAAAGGCATACCGCAAGGTTGGGTTTTCGTTGAGCGTCCTTTGTCTTCATAATGGCCTACCTACTGTGGTATTCTTGTTTCATATCATGGCATAGCATTATTCCCGTAGCATAAATTTGTATCGGTAATATTTAATGTTGGGGCATATCCATCAATAATGTCTTCTGGCGCATATCTTAATTCTCATTCAACGTCTTCTCTGGTTCGTCCCCGTCCTCATCCTCGTCCATCGTCAACTCTGACACATTTTCATTCTCCTCTAACGCCGTATCAGATTCGTCCTCTTCCTCGCTCATCGCCACTCTGGCATAACTTCATCCAGATGATACGTGACCCCCACGATAGGCTCCAAAATCCTCACCTCAAATTCTCTCAACTGCTCCTTCAATATTTTCGTCTCTGGAACATCCTTTTCGTCGTCTTTATGCACCCATCTCCACAAGCACGTCCCATGATACCCAGACAATAATATGAATTGCGCGTCGTCCCACTCATCCTGCAAACCTGCCAAGTCATATCCACCCCAGTAGCACATCATGTTTTTCATATCTCTTGCCGCTGTCGGATACCATTCCATACCCATTCCATATGGGTTTGGTAATGTTCTGAGCATTGGTGAACGAAAAGGAATGTTGGATGGCCAATTCGAGACTGGAAAATCTCTCCAAAGCCGAAGTCTCTTTATCAAATCCTTTTCTTTGGTCTGACTGAGTTCCACGTCGGGTTCATCTCCGTATGTGTCACGGCGCAAGAACATGATTTGACAGGCGATACAGCTCGTCTTGCGGAGGAACGTCTCTGAAACTGGGCGATAATCCGGGCCTACCCATGTCTTCAGCATTGTTGTGAGTTGTCTCTTTTCATTTAGCTTGAGAAAAGGTCCGGTCGCAAAAGCGTGGTAGGGGGAACTTTGAAAGCATGATGAGATAGGAGATAACTTTTGCATCGGGTACTTGGTTTTTAGAAAATCCCAGTAGACATGAGCCGTGAGACCGATGGAAATTATGGTGGGTTTGTTATCGTGCGCGTCATCGTCTATCATAAGCTCGAGGATATGATTTAGGATCTCGGGGGGTACGGATTGCTTGCTATGAGGATTGGTTTGTGCCATTTTTGTCTCCAGTTTTCTGCCTGGATCATCAAGCTTTGGATCTGGAATATTGACATCTGTTGGAGACACAGCTATATTCGATGCTGCAGATGGATGCATGGTTTCCGACTAGGCCGAGATCTTGAGTGTGAGCAGCTAGATATGGTTCGTATAAATTGAGGAGGATAGTAGAATCGAAAGTTGTTGTTTTTATTGTGTAAAAGAAAAAATATCAAGGAGATTCTGATGGTAAATTGTTTGTAGATACACATTGAGTTTAGGTCAAAGCATAGTGGCGAGATATCTTTTAAATAAAAGTTTGTATAGCTAAAGGTCCTTACAGTTATACAGAAGCAATTCAGACGCTAGGCTAGTGCTCGGTTAATCAACAACTTGTACTGTCTCCAGCAGATGTATAATTAATTAATTTGCAGGACCCAATGTTTCGGTGGTATGAGACGATTAGTGCCTTTAGAAGAAGAAGTTTTTAAAACGTGCTTTCCATCAAGATTACCACTGGATTAACCCAAGATATCTGAGTGGTCAGAGTTGCCAACGAATGGCGATGGTAAGGTGGATTTCCATGGGTCTCTATGGTTTAGATTGGGTTGGATTTTCATTCTGGCCTGCTTATTGATTATGGTAATGTTATGAGTTTTAGGTCTAGATCTCTATGGATTTATTAATAGCTATATTATATATTAGATGCTGAATTATCCATTGGGGTTTCACCCTCAGATTTCAAGCCTCAACTTCATTCCAGGAATTTTAAGCCTCGGCGGCCGAAGCTCGGAATGACTCATGAGAACTGATCCTTTAACAGGAGGGAAATTCATGATCTTCATGTTTAAATTGAACATTCAGTGTCTTTTGGGACAGGGTATTGATTTGTCGATTACCAGTACTGTTTAGAGTAGTGCAATGCACAAATTCACAATGTAGCATATGTTGCTTGTTGTTCTATACTTTTCACAAGGGCTATAATCTTGAAGCACTGATAAAAAGCATATACTCGAGTAGTTTATTCATATACCGTATTAACTGGTTAGGAAGATATTATCTTATAATGAAAAAGTTTGAATTTCCATAAGGAAAAATCATACATTATTATAAAGTTAATATCTTATAATCCAGATTGCTAAAAATATCGTTATATTTTGAGACCAGGGAATTGTTTTATCTCTAAAATAAACCCTTACCAGCTGAACCTATATATAAGCATTTTCAAGCATCTCCTATATTTATATTTATTGTTCTAAAAGTTATTGATACTATAATAAAGTCAAAATCGATAATTTAATATAATGATCTGAAAATTTTTTTTTTGATTTTAGACTCACCAAGATATCACTACTTTTATTATAATGATTATTTATTATTTTTATATATTCAATATATATAATTACAACTCAGATTTATATATCGTTTTTCATACTGTTTTATATACTTTTTAAAATAATCAAAAAGATCTAGGGATTCAAAAGATAATTGAATATGAATATATGTGAATATCAAGATCTAATAAAAAATCTCGAAATGAAAATGAGTATTTTGAATGATTTAAAAGTTTAGATCTATAGATTGTTATATAAATTGATAAATCCTCTCTATAAAACCTATTCAAAATATCAATTATTTATTCCATTCTATATTCTATTTGTGACGGAACAGACGGCTCTCTTCCGCCCACTGGCTCATACTACATACATAGTATGATATGACGGCTCTTTTGGACCTTCCTTTCACAGCTTAGAGCCCTAGCTCTATAGCTCTAGACCTAGGCATCTTACGCCTAGGACTCTTTCACCCTTTTTGGCCTAGCCCTTATGGCTCCCAATACCTGTATATATAGTCTTCCTTTTAGCATCCTACATAGCTCTTCACTTGTAGATTCTAAGTACACAATCGGAGTCCTGTTTATACCCTTTTGGTCACACTATTATATATCCTTCTCCTCCTTATTCTTATTCTTTATCTTTATATTATATCTTCTTAACTTTTCCAGCTTTTTTTAAAGCAAATATATTACAATACCGAAGTTACTAATCAATACAAATACCCTAGAAGATCTTACATTTGTTATCTTTTATTAAACAAATCCGAAAAAGAGCAAACTATTTATTAAATAATATTTCTATTCTTCGAAATCGTTCTGGGACT